AAAAAAACAAAAACAAAGCAAGGAACACAATCTGCAATAGGAATCCATAGTCGCATACTAGAGAGCCGATAGCAGCGAGAGCTTCTTGTTGTAATTAAAAACAAAATGATAAATAGGCCTAATGTATTTAAATAATTGTAATCACTACTAAATTCCAACACAAAAGCAAAAACAAAATGAAAACCTAAAATGTTAGCAATTCGAATTTGAACTTGATTTTCTTTCTTTGTATTTAGTCAATTGTGCGCGCGTGTCTTTTTTGTGTTTGGTTTACAATTTATTGTAAATAATTCATTCGTTTTCTGTTAATATGATCATATATATTTGCTTGTATTAGGGAAACGCGAACATAAATAAAAATAAACATAAATTTAATGTTAGCAAAAAGAAAACAAATACGAGACACAGGAATGTTCTATGAAAAAGAAGATATAAACACTAAACAAAAAAACAATTGAATTTTTAACTGTTTTTAATTGTTAGATTTGAAATTCAAAACTTTACATATAAACAATAAACTTATTTAATGATATGTTCAATTTGAAAACGCTAAAGGCATTAGCTGAGATCGCTAGCAAACAAGAAGAAAAATTATTTTATTTTTAATAAATGTTATATGAAAAAATTAAAAAAAAAAAAAGGAGACGTAAAACTCATATTGTAGAAATAGGTAAACAAACGACAAATAAATGTATTTATATTCAAAAATTGCATTTCCTTACACCTAACATTTGCTTGGGACTGTTAAGTTAACAGTAACAGCGTATTAACATTTGCAACCCCGAAAGAGAGTCAAAGACGCGCCAATGCAAAAACATAGAGAAAATTTCCCATTTTTCAGTGTCATTTGACAGAAAAATCGATTCGTTTTCACACTGGGCCATTCTGGTCAGGCAGTTGGATAGAAATCAGAGTACAAACCAGCCGAGCAGCGCGACCGAGATGACCCACTTTTCGGTTTTCGCATTCAAAACTAACTGCTATACCAAATAAAGTTGCAATTTTTTTCTAAACTAGCATTTAGTAAAAACGCGTTGTATATCATGTAAAACTTAAATCCGTTAACTAGTGTAAACTCTATGCATTTATGTAAATTCTCGACGGCTAATGTGGATGTGGATGTGGAAATAGGCGACCTGAAAAATCAGCAGTTCCCACAGCAATCAAAAAGCAGCAGCAAAAAGGTTTGCCAAATGTTCGAGTATTCGTTTTTGAACTATCTAGTAAAGCTTTAACGGGTGTGACAATCTTGCAAAATTTTATCAATTGAAAGCAAAAAGTTGGTCAAACCAGTCCCGAAATTCAGGACGAGCACTGAAAAACGATGGCTGCCAGTGGCAGTGGCCTGGCGAGCGAACGGGCATACGAAAAATTTCGCTGTACACCAAATGGGGAAAATGTTTTCTCAGCAGCCGATGAACTCGCCCCACTGCTGCTTGGGGCATGTGTAACGTGAAATGTTTGCATTGCTTTAATAAAAAGAAGAGGATTTTTTAAAAAGAAGAACGCAATAATTTATACGCGTGTGTGAAACAAACAATTGCAATTTGAACGTTTTCTAACATTTAAACTCCAGTGTTACAAATTGCATTTTACAAAATGATAAAAGACAAAACGGGTGATGTGAAAAGTAAAAGTGTTAGCGATTGCCACTGAGACTTCGGCTGTGGCATATCGATGAAACGATAAAAAAATGCTAGCAAGCTAACGTAAAACTTACACCCACACACACACGCACGCACACACATGCAAAACGCGCGCATGCAAAGGCAACACGAATCCCAATACAATTGCGAATACTTGTGCCAATGCAAGCGGAATATTGAATGAAAACTAAATAAACATGTACAAGAACTTGTGGGCATGCATGTGTGTGTGTTAATGTTATGCTAAAATGCATAAAAAGTCGCTCAAATTGTCAAACTGTATATGTGCAAAAAGAAACGCAGTGGAAGTGGAGCACGGCAGCAGTTTGCGGTTCATAGGACTGGGCGTATGTGTGTGCATGTGTGTGAGTTTCATATTCATAGTCGCAGTAACAGCCGCAGTCGCAGTAGCCATGATAGCAGCAGCAGCAGCGGCGGCAGCAGCGGCACAAGATAAATGAAAAGTGCCACATTTTGCTTTTGGGGGCGGTTTTGACACTTGGCGCGCAGCAGCAGCAGCAACAACAACAACAACAACAGTTAGGCCGCGTGGGTGGCGTAAAAGTTGTTTGCTGCTCTGCGTGCGTAACAGAAAGCACAATCAGTTATGTACAAATATATACACACATACATATGCACATAGAAGCCGTGAAAGAGTGAGGCACCAAGAGCAGCGGCGGCTGGGGGCAGGTGTTTGCCATGCGGTTCTCTTGTGTCACTCAATGTGTGTGTGCTTGTGTGCGTGTGTGTGTGTGTAAACAGTAACAGCAACAAAAATAACAGCCAAGTCGACTGCGCCTAAACGCTGTAACAACTATTTTTGGATTTATTCGCAATTTGTATTTCCGTTCATTTATTAGCATTGTTGTATTTTGCTGTTCTTATTATTTTACGCTTAAGTATGTAGATTTATAAAACGTTTTCATTATTGGCAAATACAACGATCTAATGTCACGCGTTGCCCAAAAACAGAAAGTCAATATCAGTGTGTGTGTGTGTGACAGAATTAATCGTGCAGCATGTTCCGATTTGACATGTGGCTATCATTCAATGGCATATTTTCCACAAAAAAAAAAAATGAAAAAAAAAGTAAGAGATGGTGGCACAATCGGGGCTTGATTTGACACATTTCTCCCGCTTTGCCCAAAAAACTATGCTACATTTTGTGAGTGTGTGTGCTTTTGTGACCCGCATGAGTTCTTTTTCCAGCACCGTGTGCTATGTGAGTATGAGATAGTGTGTGTGTGGCTTGTTATAAATAGGCAAGATAGTTTTTGTGCTGTTTGGCTCCTCTACGTCTCTTTAGATTTTTTTTGTGTTATTGAGGTCAAACTGTCAGAAGGATAGTGAACTTTATGAAATTTCAAAAGCTAAATTGGTTAACTTTAAAGAGGTTTCTATGTACACACAAGTAGCTCCTATAAAGGGGGCGGGTGCTCAAGGTTGATTAAGTGTATTGTATTGTGGACCACAATGCTCGTCTCTTAAATAATTAAACGGCCTAAATATAGTAACCCCTGTTTCTAGATATAAAGTGTCAATGGTTTATTTTAAGGAATGTTCTTGTCAGTAAGGACAAAAAGGCATTAATAACTGACCGATTGACTTACTCATTTCATAATTTACGCGTAGCCCAAGCCTTAAGAGCTAAAATGTTGAAACTTTTATTCTAGTTATCTTTCGAATATTACATTACAAAAAAAAAAAAAATAATTATCCTAATAATTTTCGAAATTAAATTAAAAATAATAATATCTTAAATTTGAAGAATAAACTTGGTCCAAATACAAGACAAATATATGTACGTCCCACGTGGTTCAGATCTACACCTGTATTCATGTGCCCTGCAAAGTATGCAATAAAATATACGCAAATTTATTAGGCTTCTCGGAAAACTTCGGTGACACGAATTTCAATGCAACTTGCTTGCGCTCAGTTTCTATTTTTCTTTTTTGTTCAAATTGAAGTACATCAAAAGTAAACGTGCCAAAAACCAAGAAAGTGGGCAACAGTTTAAATTTTAATGATACTTCAACTTTGCCCATTGGCATTTGTAGTTTTAATTAGGACTATTTTCAGTGCTTGCCGCAGATATCCATCAAATTTTCGCATACAACACATAAGACACACATGAAATGGAATTAAACCCATGTGAATTTTCCATTTAATTTACTCGAATGGCAATTGCCGAAAATTGGGTTAATAGACTGTAAAGCAGCGTCAGGCTGCAACCTACATTCAATTGGGATTGGGCTTGGGATGTGGGCCAGGCAGAAGCAATAAGACAGCAAAGACGAGAAATAGCGAGCGGGTCGTGTGGCTAATTCGTACTCGGAGAACTCACTCATTAAAATTTTAAGCAGTTGCTAGCAGCTGATTTTGCTGTTGCGTCTTTATTTTGTCTGTTGCTCATCAACTTGTGCCAACTAAATATTTAATTGCTTAACTGAATTCTTCAGTTAATATAGTAGACCTATTTGAACGTTTATGTATAGAATAAACGAAATGAATAGCACTTACTATTATGTACATGGCTGGGGATGTCGTATACAGACTTGTCCAAGATACAGAGCCTCGTGCTAACACTGTTGACCATCAAGAAAATTATGAAAAATACGAGTGAAAAGTAAAGAAAACCCTCCCACACGCACATACTCACACAAGAGCTATTTAACGCCCACTTCATAATCATAATTAAAAATTTTTGCGGTGCCCAGACATGAGGGCAAACAGCGCTGTTAACCCACTTACAGGTCGACCGACTGTTAACATGTTGCCATTGCGCATGCGCCAGTGTTGGTAAATTGCACTCTCTTGCTGGGACTTTTACTCACGCATCATACGCTCTAACCAAAGCTGGGGAGCACATAACTCAATCACCGAAACTCGCGCCCACTCACACAACACACAGACAATGCTGCCATCTTGTTCGCACACTCAAATTGCTGTGCATACTTTTGCAGTTAAGCCAAAGCAATAAACGACATTGTTGCTGTTGTTGCTGCTGCTTTTGCAGTCGTACACACACACACACACACACACACACACTGTTACATGGTAGGAGAAGCAGAGCAGTCGGAGCACTGTGCATAACAGCAACTAGTGGCCGTAATGAGACTTTGCTGCTGTTGCGCTTCGCATTTGACTGCGCTCCGCTGTGCTGCACACACGTCTCATTATAACGCTATCAGCAAAGTATACACACACACACACACACACACATACACACTTAGAAAACTGTAGTGAAAAAAAACTACCACAGTTACTATAAATAACTGCAGCTGTCTGCTCAACTAATTGTGCTGCATTAAGTTCTTCAGACAATGATTTGATTTGATAAGCAAAATGTTGTTAATATCTAGTGTTTAATGCTTCACACAATGGACAGAAACTGCAATTCGAGGTAAGCGTTATCCTTGATATTTGACAGAGAACATGCAATAAATGAACCTGAGAGCTGTTGCTGGCACCACCGGAAGGGCGGCAAGTAAATGTCACAGCCCACCTGCTGGATGCTGTCATGAACGCCCACAGATGGGCGGGGCATCTATCGACAGCAGCATCAGGATAAACCTTGTCATTGCTTTTAAATGTCAAGGGGAAACTCGGGCGGGGTAGATAAAACGGCAAAAGTGGTTTCGTACAACATCGCCATCGACAGATGGATGCAGCTCTATGTGGGTGGCGCGTGTGCTTGTGGGAAAGAGTGTATTAAAAATTCATCACTGCGTTTCGTATCCATGTTACTAAATTTCCCGTGCACTGCAGAGACCGCAAAGTGATGCAAATTGCATATCCTCAGCGATTTATTATTGAATTTAAAATCCAATATAACTCTGAGAGCCACTAAAGGAGCCCGTTAGAGTCGAGCACTTCGAGCCAACATATTCCTACGATTTGCAGTTTCATATTCATTTGCGAATTGTATCATTTGCTCTTTGCCCGTTGCATCGTTTTTCTGTTGTCTAGACAAACTGGCGCGTGTCTAATACCCTGTACATGTGGGTATCAGCATAGTTTGATATACGGTATACTATATTGTATCGGCTTAATATACTGATTAATTATGTATATATAAACTTAATGGGGTCGGAGATGTCTTCTTCTATTTGTTAAGCATTTCGTGACAAAAGTATAATACATTATCCGATATAAACAAGTCTGTCTGTCTATTATCAACATCTTACTTATATAAAAAATTGGTTTTTGTATGTAAAAGTTGATTTTAAAAATATCTTGAACAAACTCAGCAGTTTTACGCTTCACTTTTCTCCCCACATATCTTCAAGCGATAAGATATATATACCCTTAATAAATTGGGCTTGCTCTTAGCTCTTGTTGGGCTGTGAAACTGCAACATTATTTCGTGTTTATCGTGATAATGTCAAGGGATTGATTAGAGGGTATTTCAGTATTTGTCAAATTTCCATTTTCTTACTAGTTCCTCATACCACAGTTGTTTTTATGCCGCCACGCGCCTAACATGGCGTATGAGTAATACAATTGACTGTATGATAAATACGGTTGTGTGTGTGTGTGTGTGTGTTTGCGTGTATCCCTGTGCGAATGTGTGTGCTTGCAATTGCAGACAGTCAAATTAAAGCATTAGATTGCGGTAAGTGTGAAACGACTGAAAGAGAGAACGTTTAGTACGTGGCGTATACGTAATATGGCAAATAACAGGGAATGCTCTTGAAATGCAATTTTAAATCAAACACACGACCATTTGGGAAGTATTTTTGAATGAACGTGACGTTTATTATGGGTCGGCCTCAAAATGCGGTCACAACGGTAATTAACCTAAAGTTCAAAGTTCAAAGCGCACACGTTTGCCAAGTTTTGTGTGTGGCCACGTTCCAATTACAGCCAAGCAAAGCAGTTGACCCATTTCTATAGCTTTTGAACATAAATAAATAAAGCCAAAAACGAGCACTAACCCTTCGTTTGCTGCCACCCACGGGGAGATTTATAGTTCAGATCGGAGCCCAGATTGAGAGACGTTTGCTTTATTTATTCGCAGTCGTCGCAAGGGCAGCCACAGCATGCCGTACGAGTCGATGCACCATCATCAGTCGGCGGCCGCTGCAGTGGCCGCCGGCGTAGCGCCAAATAGCGTGCTGGACTCGCTCAGTTTGCAGCTGCGCGATGCGGAAATGCGACGCACCGAGATCGAACGGGCGCATCAGGTGAGTCACCAGCTGCAATGATTTATAACAATAATGCTAAAATTTCATGTGCCTCATGCGGCAGGAAACTCTGGCACAAATACGCAACCTTAGCGGCAGCGCACGTCCCGACACCGAGGCGGTGGAGAATCTGCAGTCACGAGCTCGGGAGCTGGAGAAGAAGGTGCGTAACCTGTGGCAAATGTGACAAATGTTGCACACAACTTAGATTCTATTGTGTATGCTTTTAGGTGGCGCTGGAAAATGTGCACTGTGAGGAGCTGCAAATTGAGCTGACGGCCGCACTTAAGGCCAAGGCATCACGTTCAACTGCTTCCCATATGGGCAGTTGTCCTTCGTCATCGGCCCCAACATCCCAACATGGGCCATACCAAGGCGCAAATATACCAACATCGGCCAGCAGTTCCACCGTCACATGGGCACCGACAATCAGCCACCAGGACCAAGGCTCCGAGATTGATATAATAATGGCCAAGATTGAACAGGTAAACTTGGTCTTTGTTTATATTGTCGAGCATAAATAAGTTAAAAACAAAGTAACTCTAACTGCCCCTTGCTGCTGCTTCGTCTCTGCTCATTGAAGCTGCTCTCCCTCCATTTCACTTATAGTCGAGTTGTCTGTCGACTGACATTCATAGCCGGACGAGAAACAAGTCAGGAAACTTCCAAAGCTATCCGAGCTGCTCGTGTCCGAGTCCATAACATCGCCAGACTCAATCTGTGTGCTGCTCTCAGTTTGTGACGGCAGGCCCTGCTTGAAGAAGTCCTTGTCAGTGGAACTCGAGAAAATCTGTAACTTGCGGCGCATCTCTTCATTGTCTTTGGTCAGCTGCTGGATTATGCGCTGATTCTCTTTGCTATTGTCCTCCTCCAGACCAATACTGTGTATCATGATTGCAGTCATCTCCTCCAGGCGTGCGTCCAGATTGTTAACAACGTTCTGCAGTTTGCCAATGTATCTTTCGCGCATATTAAATCTCTCGCAAAGCATATTTCCCTTGCAGTGCTCTTTGTACTTTTGCATAATTTGCTGAACGCCTTCCCGGTACTCGAACACGGCTTGCTTTAGCTCGGCATTCTCAAGCAGCTGCTGGATGCGCTCACTGTCAGTGCAATATTTGACCAGATTTTTTAGTAATTGATCATCATGTACTCCGCAACAGTCGATGAATTTCTGTTCCGCACTTTGACTGTCAGCCAACATACATGTTGTCTTCTGTAGCAAATCGTTGAAGTCACCAGAAAGCTTCTGTGCCTTGATTATCAGTCCAGTCACTGCATCCTGGACCTGGCTCATGTTGTACACGTTGAATTTTAATATTTTCTTAGGCCAACTTCAGCTCTCTTCCAACTGCCGAAAGCACTGACAATGAACAGACACGAACAATTGCTGACAGCCCTGGAGTAAAGTGATTGGAATCTAGTGTCACATCGACTAAATCAACTCTACTTAGCCTGCCTGGATCGTGTTCGAAAAAACTCAGTAAAATATTAGTTAGAGCAGTTTTTAATTGACTTGCCAAAGTTGTAATATTCTTGCAGACATATAGAAGACTTGAGCTGATAACAATTGAACAAACAGAATAATTGAAAAATAAATATGAATAAAATTGAAGATTAAATCAAACTGAATTGCTCTTCAATTATTATTTTATTTTATTTAAAATGTTAACCAATTCAATGGCAGAAAAAATATTGTCTGTAAATTATAGAAACAAATGTTTGTATAAATCAGTTAATGTTTGATAACTTTAGGTTTAAGACCAGTTCCATTCGAATCAAGTTAAAGGAATTGGTAGCCGAAAGGACAATAAAACTTTCGAACATTTCTGATTTCAGGATAATCGCGTATTGGCCGAGCTGGAACAGCCGCGAACTTCAGCGAGCGCCAGCATGTCAGCGTTGCCGCACAGTTCCATGATGGGCATGGGAAATAGCGAATTTAGAACCATATCAAAGAGTGGTAAGTCGGCTTACGTTAATACTCTAGGAAGTGTATATGTAATTCGTGCTGGTGTTCTTAGAACTCGAAGAAGAACTGAATCGATATAAAAGAGCAGTATTGGGCAGCGCATCGGGCGGCGGTGTATCAGCCCTATCGTCCGGCTACTCGAGCCTGCCGCAATCGCTGGCCTCCACGCTGGGCAATGGGGCCAGCACGAGCCTGAGCGGCACCAGCGTGGGCTCGCAGAGCGTTGCTGCCGCCGCCGGCATCGGCGTCGGCGGTCATTCATCCATATCGGCCCTGGTGCCCAACTCAATCAGCGGCATATCCTCGAGTCTGAGCAGTCAGGCCATACAATCACTGAATGCGGCTGCCTACGGGGGTGGCCAGAGCTCCGTTGAGAAGCTGCTGAGTGGAACTAGTGGAATAACTGGCATTCCACCATTGCCGGTAAATATTCACACGATGAAGGCTATGCCAACGGCATTAAGTCAGGTAAACCAACTATTTTCAATTGCAATGAACTACAAGCAACAAAACGAAACCCAACAAACAATTATTAAATGCAATTAAATTAGCAATATCGCTTCAAAGCCTGGCATACGACATGGCTTTGGCTCTCCTTGGTGATCATCTGCTTCAAGTAGCCTTCGTGTTTGTTTATTTGTTGATCATCCGTGCTAATCCAAGTGGCATTGCGACTGCCGCTCGCCGTGTAACTAATTCACATTTTGTGCTTTGTTGTAGTTTCATTATTGAAAATAATTACTTAGTCACATACCACATACACATACACATACATACACACAGACCAACTCACATTACATAGCGTTTGACATACCTACTAAAACATTAACTTTGAGCCACAAAAAGAAAATCTGGGTATTTCCATGTATTTCCATTACTCATATAATTACTTTTAAGCAAATATTTATGGAGCAAAACAACTCCATGAATATTTGAATATCTATGTAGTGTGTTTAGAAGTGTAGTCTTCAAGTTTGAATTGAGTTGTTTCTTTTTTATGTTGTTAAATATTTCAAATGCATGCATAAAGGTTTTATTCACAATAAATTGTTTATTCAATGTTAAGACTTTAGTCTACCTATATTTCTTTTGTTTAAATGATTTAAAATCGGAAAATATACGTAAAAATATTGAGCAAAATAGAAATTTTACCTGCGGCTCACCAAGCTGATATGCGGTATATTAGTATACTTATCATACAAAACAAAATAGAAAAGCATCTTTCGAAAAATTGCATTTCATCCATCCCATGGGAGGTCAGATACTTAGCCCCATATTATTAAAGTCTCCCTAGCTGAGTTAGTTAGGGACATTTGAAGAAAACTAAGAGAATGTTTTTTATAAGAGCTATATTTTTGTTTAATTGTTGCTATGGATGCTTTGATAGTTAAAAGTAGAAATGGATTTCAATTGTAAGCCTTAGGGGCTTAGCCAAGTTAGCTTTCTTGAAATATCAAAACAAAAAGAGTGCAAATGAAATACTCTGTGTTTTCCGGCGGGTTCAACTTTATAATAAGTCGTATTAATTAAGATAGTTTAAGACAGGGACTAGCTTGCATAGAAACAGATTTAGAGATCGGGAACACATAGCTTATGGGTTTGCAAAAGTTTTGCAAACATCTTTGGGCACAAAACAATAATAAACCCTATAAGAGTATCTAAATTGTATTACCTTGTATAGAAGACTCTTTGCATGACTTTTTACTGATTTCACCTTTTTATATATATTCACTGAAATCCCGAACATGCCTCATAACCCATTCTCTTCCATGCACAGCACACTATATATTCACATATTTAACCAACTGAAAATACCAAAATCAAATTAAATCTGTAGCAAAATAAAAAAAAATACGCTTTTCGTTTCGATGTTTAACTGCAAATACATTTTTAATGAAATATTGTTCATGTCAATTGCTTGGAAACGGCTTCAGTTCATATATCAATTAATATACTCATATCCTATATAACAACTTCGTCTGCGTCGTTATTCACAACATGTTCAATAAAGTTTTCAAATACGTTCTCATAGCTAATATAATGCTGTTTCTAGTTGGCTTCTTCACATATATTGACCAATAAACGTGTACTTTGTGATCTCTTTTCCCATTTTATGTGCTCTTGTCTCTCTCTCTCTCTCTCCTTCTCTCTCTCTCTCTTTCTCTCTGTATTCTCTTTTTGTCTTTTTGTACAATAACTCGTATTTCGATTCGTTCTCTTCCCTCTCTGCTGAAACTTGCGGTTTACCTTGCAAACTTACGAATCCTCTGCAATACATGTGTTTCAATGTCTCTCTGTGTGTGTGTGTGTGTGTCTATGCAATAACTATCTTAACCCCTAAAACGCCCACCTATACTAATACACTAACCGACAACAACCAAACACAATGTTAATTGACAAACCAAAACCCAAAACCAAAACGAACTTGAAATTGAATTGAAATTGAATTTAAAATTGAAATTGAAATTGAAACAAGAAGCGCGGAACAATACAACTGTACAATTTACAGAGCACAACCATGCCCCTCCTGTCACTCAACTCGCATAATCTGCCGCCTGGCGGCTCCACCAGCTACTCGGCCCTGGGCCTGAGCGGCGGCAGCGGCATGGTCGGCAGCTCGCTGACCCATCCCACCATGAGCAATATCAACATGCTCGACACGAGCGCCCTTCTGGGCCTGGGACCAGCTGGCGGTGGCATAACGGGCGCCACGTCGCTTTATGGCCTGAGCGCTGGTGCTGCCGGCGCTCTGGGCAGCTCGTATGGGCCACCATTTATGGATGCTGCCTCGAGCGCCTCGTATCCATTCACATCGGCTGCACTGCGTCAGGCTACCAAGATGAAAATGCTGGACGAGATTGATATACCGCTGGGGCGTTATGGCAATCGTAGCTCACCATGCTCACCCATTCCCGTGGGGCACAGCAGCTGGGGCCTGGACGAGTTCACCGATGGCCTGGGCGCCTCCATTATGCACAATCGCAGCGGGCTGGCGCTGGGCGCCCTCGATCTGGACTGTAAGTATAGCGGCGGTAATTGCCCAAAAGTGAATCGTAAACGATATCTCCTCTCAGCTCGCAACCACGCACTGAACGGCGCCAGTGAGCCCCAGGTGGACATGTTGGACATACCGGGCAAAGGGCGTTGCTGCGTCTTTATAGCCCGCTTTCCCTACGATCCACCCGAGTAAGTGACCTCAAGATTTGCCACATATTCATAGCTGAACTATTAAATGAATCTTCCAGGGAGGCTGAGGGCGAGCTTTCACTCTGCGCCGGCGACTATTTGCTGGTTTGGACTAGCGGCGAGCCGCAGGGTGGCTATCTAGATGCGGAACTATTGGACGGAAGACGCGGCCTAGTGCCCGCCTCGTTTGTGCAGCGACTTGTGGGTGAGTTGCAGCTCGAAAGCCCACTGCAATGGCTGCATTTTAATGCCGGATTCTCCTTGAACAGGCGATGATTTGCTGGAGTTCCATCAGGCGGTGTTGTCGACACTGCGCGACGCCGAAGATGGCTCCATGCAGTGCGACACAACGTCGCTGCCTTCCTTGCCGCCGCACAACCCATTGCTCACACACACGCACGAGGATCTGGCACGTTTGAGTGAGACGCACACCGATCTGGAGCACGACCAGGATGACATTAGCGATAATGGTAACTAAACATTGGCCATATACTAGACTCTATATTTTTTGTAATCTTTTGATTTGGTTTTTGTGGCCATTCGAATGCTTCGCCTGCCATGGCACATGTGAGCATACAAATTTTTGAATACCCTTAATGTAGCGACGCACTGGATTAGGCTAGAAACAATTGAAGATCCAATGAAAATACTTGAAAACTAATAAAAACATTTCTCTGCTTCATCAGTTCCAGCTCCAAAACACTTGACCCTGGAACGGCAGCTGAACAAGAGCGTGCTCATTGGCTGGTCACCACCAGAGCCGGTGGGCTACAATCTGATCGATAGCTACCACGTCTATGTAGATGGTGTGCTCAAGGTCACGGTGAAGGCCAACGAACGCACACGCGCTCTAATCGAGGGCGTCGACTCCACGCGGGTAAGGTCACAGTCAATTAAAGGTATATGGAAAGGACTGCATATATTTATGGACTTATTCTACTCTTTCAGCCGCATCGCATTAGCGTGCGGAGCGTTACACAAAACCGTCAGACGTCCAGGGACGCCGCCTGCACAATGATTATTGGGCGAGATACCTCGCACTTGGGCCCCTCGGCGGTGCGCGCCTCGCACATAACGTGTTCCTCGGCGGTTATCTCGTGGCTGCCGGCCAACTCCAACCACCAGCACGTGGTGTGTGTGAACAATGTGGAGGTGCGCACCGTCAAGCCGGGCATGTATAGGCACACAATAACCGGGCTAGCGCCGAGCACCCAGTATCGGGTGACTGTGCGTGCCAAACATTTGCGTGCCGTTGGCCAGCACACGCCACAAGCACCAGGCAGACCCGGGCAGGAGGAGGCACCTGGCGCCTATGCCGATTTTCGCACACTGACCAAAGGTCTGCCCGATCCGCCGCAAGACATCCAACTGGAGGCTGGTCCTCAGGATGGCACCATTCTGGTGACATGGCAGCCGGTTAACAGACCTACGTCCACGGGGCCTGTAACCGGCTATGCTGTGTACGCCGATGGTAAAAAGGTGACGGACATTAATTCCCCGACGGGCGATCATGCACTCATCGACATCGGCAAACTGGGCGTCTTCAATCCCCGGGCCGTCACCATACGCACCAAATCACGCGATTCACAGTCGGCGGACAGTGCGCCCATACTGATACCAAGTGGGTGTAGCTAAATTTAAATCGAACCGTGAATCCATTAAATCCCTTTCACCCAAACGCTTTGTAGATAACGTGCGCAATGCTGTCGCTCGCCGGGGACCAAATCAAATGGGCATGGGTCCGCAGTTGCCGCAGCAGGGAGTCCATGGCATGCCCGGGCAGCAACAGCAAATGGGCATGCCTGGGCAGCAGGGGCAGATGCAGTCGCATATGATGGGTGGCCAGCAGGATCACACGCAATACGATCCCAACCAAATGCAGCAGCAAGGAATGCAGCCGGGCCAACAGCCGGGCCAGGCCCAGCCGGGTCATCAGGTTAGTGATTGCGCCCCACACCCAAATGTCAGCTGCCGCTCCAGATCTACATCTATGCGGATCAATTGGCACTGGCATTCACTGTATATAAATATATAAATAATGTTCTGTGAACTCGTTTTATTTATTATTTCGAAATGCAATTGGTTACAAGTTTTCCAAATTTCTAATTAAACAAACACCCATCCACCACGAGATTGTACATAATGTTCTACAAGTGTAGATACTCTACGTACTCTATCCTTCAACTATCCGATTCTGAATGCTTATCCCAATATCATAAAAAGAAAATTCTTTTGATTTGTATATATACATACCTCTGCTGCATCGAAGCAGCTAATTATGGTATGGGATATTTCAAAATACATACATATACATTATATACTTAACCTACTTATGTTCAGTTTTTGTTTTTGGTTGAAACGTACATAAACTTTCGAGTTCATAATGGATATTTTAAAAAGGAAAAGTATTCTATTTATCTATCAGCTACGTACTTTCTATATCTTTGGTACTCTCTTCGAGATCTATTATGAATTGCCTTTTTCTACTTGCTACTTTTCTACCTCTCCTCAAAAGACTGAACTAAAATCCTATTTTCTATGAATTGTTTTGCAATATAACCACATTATATACATACACTATATGATATATTAGACAATCGCACAAAATTCACACACAAAATTTGTACAAATTATATATATATATATATATTACATATATATGAAATGAACTGTTGCAGAGAACTGTGAGAAAGTAAAGCCAATGATTATATCTATAAGAACCAAAGCAATTTGAGACCTACAACTAAATCCCCCCACCCGAAAAAAAAACAAATACAAAAAGAATTTGTATGTATGTAAAGTTATTATTTATTTAGTTGATATTTAGGTTATGTGGACAGCGTATGCAGTTTTATTTTGCTAGTGTTTGTTCGAATTTTGATTTGGGTTCATGATCTTTTTGAGTACAGTTCACAATAGCATGTTCCAAAATTGCTGCCAAATGCAATAATAATTTATCAAGTTAATTGAGTTGCTCAGTTTAAACAATAGAATTTTACATACTTATATAAGTATCTGAGCGGATTGATTAAGGAGAACGCAATGCAACGAACAATTTTAAACAAAACAAGTTATACATATTCATTTTCATTATATGAAACCAATACTGAAACGATACCGTTAACCCGTTACCATACCGAATCGAATCGAATCGAATACAGCCCGACGGAAGCTCCGGCTTGTTAGGTGGCCTGCTCGGTGGCCTCTTCTCGAAACCCACACAGAGTCAAGTGAACCAGAATGTAAGTTATACTGACAACATCTCTCACCTACCCCCATTTGTATTAATCACACAACAATACACACCTTCACACACACACACACACACATAGACATAAGTTCAACTGTAATACCTTTGCCTAGAGTAATACTCTTTTCAAAAGAGTTCGCTGCATTTTAGTCATACTTATGCCGATTTCTATAGCTTAACAAACTAATAACTTATATACTAGTATATACAAAGTAGAATATGCTTTTTCTTAAGCTTAAAAAAAAAAAACAAAGATAATGCTAAGTGCAATTTTTGAACAATTTTTAATTCATAAGTTGTTTTTTTTTTTTTTAGAAATTATGGTGTATACAAGAATTGGTTTTTTTTTTCCAATTTTATGAATAGTTGCCTTTGTCTAAGGCAAACTTTCGCCTGTGGGAAATTAAGAAAAGTCGTGAATGAAATTGTTAAGATACTGCATGGTTAGCCAGGGGATTAAAAACGTATTTAAATAGCTTAACAAAAGTATCTGAATGATATAATTAATACTCCGAAAATTAGCTCAAGCGAAGTTCAATTATGTATATTATTTAAATGAAACTTGCTTCCGTATAGTAAATAATCGACTGCCTGTTCTGACTGTGTTAGTCTCAGCGCCTTCTATATATGCAATAACAATAAAAAATTTGTAATATACAATTTAAGTACATGTATGTAAGTATTGTGATAGACTAGTATCCTCCAGTAGGTTGTCATAATCGCAGTTCATATTAGAGACATGTGTATACAATCAAACACACTTAAACAACAGTTACAGGAACCAACAAAACATCTACATAGTTATTTCAACTCAAATTCGTGCTTTCTTTTTTCTGAAAACATTTAACAACTAGCTTCGTATTTGCCTTTGACCTATCAGCCATAGACTTTTGATTTTCCAGGTGCTTGTATTTAGCTCCTGCTTAATGCGCCTTTCTTAATACACGCCTTCCTCTACACACACACATACACACATACACATATACAAGTACTGTTTACGTAGTATATACCATATATATTCATATAACGTCTTTAGTTGTGTCGAGCCTTAAAGCCATACGCAGACGCCCGCACATTGCTAATGAAATTACCTCTCTATAGACAATGTGAATGAAAAACAGAGTACAAATTAAGAACAATTTTGCGACAATCTAAAAAGAAGAAACGCTAACAAAATTTCAAATTCATTTAAATTAATTCAAATTCATGCGCGTGCTATCGTCGGTCGATAATTTATCGATAATCAGGGCTATCAGCCGGGCGCACCGCAGCGTGGCATGGTGCCAGGACGACCCCAGGGACCACAGCAACAGCAGCAACAACAACAGCCGTACGGGGCCCAGGGGCCCATGGGAGGACCCCGATTTCGTGGGCCCGTGCCGGGACAAATGGCAATGCAGGGTCAGATGCAGGGCCAGATGCCGGGACAAATGCCTGGTCAAATGCAAGGTCAAATGATGGGTCAGCAGGGGCCGGGTCCACGTGGCCAACTCAACCAACAACAGCAGCAACAACAGCAGCAGCAACAGCAGCAACAACAGCAGCAACAGCAGCAGCAACAGCAACAGCAACAAGGTCAAATGATGCCTGGCCAGCAACCGGGCCAACAGCAGCAACAGCAAATGCCCGGCGCACAGAAGAAGCCGCGCTATTTTGTGGCAATGTTTGACTACGATCCATCCACAATGAGTCCCAATCCAGATGGTTGCGACGAAGAGCTGCCCTTCCAAGAGGGAGATACTATCAAGGTAAGCTCTTTGCAATTTTGCTGATACACAGAACCACCAAAACACTTTGCAGCCGCAGAGCAAATGCTACCCACTTAGGCACCGGACCTTGCAGTAACCGTCCACGGTAATAATGGTAAATCAGTAATCAGCAATCAGCAATCAGAATCAGATAATCTGGATATCAGCTAATCAGCGCTTGCTCTGAATTGGATGCCGAATTGGAACGATGCCGATTATTGGCTGCGCTTGCCGCTAATTGAATGAATGAATCTTGTGCATGTTTTTCCTTCGCCAATCCCAAGTCTGCCCCAACATACAGTTGAGATTGTTATAAATACGTTTTAATACCCATATCAATAATTACAAATACAACTACTCTTACTTAAGTAACTGTAACTACCAATACATTATACAGTACTATATACCCAACACCCAAAACTCACACACACTAAGTAGAAGTTGTTCTCTTCTCTCTAATAGTTCCATAAATAACCGTTAAGTTAGCAATATGCACTCTACATTTACACTACCAACTAGCCATTATGAGTATACCATATGCCCAGCTCCGTGACTGTCGGCCTTGCTAACACTCCTCTCTTTCACGCTCTGTGGCACAGGTCTTTGGTGATAAGGATGCGGATGGCTTCTATTGGGGCGAGCTGCGGGGTCGTCGAGGCTATGTGCCGCACAACATGGTTAGCGAGGTGGAGGACACCACCACCCAAATAACCGGCGGGCAAATGCCCGGCGGCATGCAGTCGACAACAACTGGGGCCGGCACCGCACAAGTTATGCCCGGCCAGAGCGCTCCACAGCAGAGCATGCGGAATGTGAGTCGCGATCGCTGGGGTGACATCTATGCGAATATGCCAGTGAAACGGATGATCGCCCTCTATGACTATGATCCCCAGGAGTTAAGTCCGAATGTGGATGCCGAGGTGAGTAGAGCAAAAAGTAGACTTTTTTCAGCAACATTCACCTGACTTACCTTTATATACCCTGCTTTCTAGCAAGTGGAATTGTGTTTTAAGACGGGTGAAATTATCCTCGTCTATGGTGATATGGATGAAGATGGCTTCTTCATGGGTGAACTGGATGGGGTACGGGGCTTGGTGCCCTCAAATTTCCTGGCCGATGCACCCGACCAGTACAACAATCAAATGGGACCGGGCGGCGCCGCTGGGCGTGGCAGCCTCAGTCAGCGGGGTCGGGGCCAGGGACCCGGCGCCAGGGGACCACCGCCGCCGCCACGAGATAACATGATGCCCGGCGTTGCTGGGCAACGTGGTCCACAAGGCAAAAGTAAGTAGGCTTTGTGCAGATTCTTTTGGTCAACGGATTTTTTGCATTTCTTTTTTATTTTCATTTATTTTTTTTTTTTATTTTAATTATTTTCCTTTGATTTAATACAATTTTTACTAAATATGATACTAAAATTTATTCGAAAAGCAATTACAGGCTTTCTATTTCTAATTTTCACTTCTGATTTGAGTTTTTTTTTACAAAAAAAAAAGAAGGAAAATCTCAAAGCAAATCTCTTAAAATAAAACACACACTTTATAAGATAATTAAATATGCAGGTTTTTCAGACTAACTACACAAACAAGCAGGATGATATTATATATAGCGACTAATCTTATGAACTATATGTACTCAACTACAAGATTCCGTTGGTTTTATTTTGTTCGTAACACCAATAGCATATATGTCTACACATATATACATACATATATGTGTATCAATATGAAATCAGCGAAAAAAAAATAAACACTTATGAACAATACGATCATGCTCCAAAAAGAAACAAACAAATTTCGTGACGACACAAAAAATCTTTCACTCTTCTTTCTATCTCTCCAACTCTTTCGCAAAATTTCAAACAAAAAAATATATAATCTATAAACCAAACAGTTACAGATGAATAAATACAATTTCTGTTTTGAACGCCGCTAATTTAATATATATATATATTTATTTAATTTCTGTTATGATTCCGCAGAACTTGTTTATAATGTTACACTACTTCTTTATATATATATATATACGTATATATTTAAATTTTTTAGTTTGTGAAATAATTCATAATTTCAGCACCTGTTTAAGAATCCTTTTATATAACATGTTCTTGTTTTTTGGTTCGAATCGATTTATATAAACCTTATCAAATACAATATATAGATACATAGTTGTTGTTCTTGTTGTTGTATACACAGTCCTTAAATTACCTCTCGCTTTCTCTTTGTTTATTCTTTTTTTCAACCGATCCATATGCCATATACAATTATATATACAAATTATGTTTATATACAATCGAAGTATTATTGAGAAGCAGCTTTAAGTCTTTAAGAATCCTTCCAAATCATTTAAAAAAACATAACACTTTTGTTGATATTTTTCCAAGTATTTTCTTTACTGTCTAAACACTTTTTGAAAATTACAAAATTGTTTCTACTTTTGTCTCTTGTCTTGCGTGACTTTCTCTATAGCCTTGCAAAAATTTCTAGATGGTCTCTTGCATGTAATTTAATCCAAGTTAACTTAAGTGTATTTATCATTTCCATTTGACTTTTAATCGGTTTGTCGTTATGTTTTTGGTTACCCTAACAATTTAACTTGCATAAAACAGAGACTAGTTTCTTGCACCTGATTGCCGAATGATATGTAATTCCTTAGTTGCTCACCGATCGATTATGGAGTCTGTAAAAACCATCTAGTTTTATGAGACAACGACCGATAAAATATATGTGAATATATAATATATATAAATATATATCTCCGAGAGCCTGTAAATATTGAACGGAATTCACCGATCTAGTTCTTAGGATGGAGTTCTCATATACCCGAGCACATTGCATACGAGTATGTATGTTGCCAACTGTTCGTATAAACCATGCTGTCGTGTGTGTTTTTTTCCGCAGTCAAGCGTGTTTAACTTGCAGATAAAACTCTTGAAATCGAGTATAAATATCTCTATCCTGTTCCTGGTTTCAGTTTCTGTTTCTGTTTTCCATGTGTACGACCTATTGCGTTGCTTTTGTCGATAAATACGTTTTTATTCATTTTTCTTTTTTAATAAATAACATTTGATCTATTTTCCCGTTGGTTTTGAATGTTGCCCCTGTTTGTTTGCTATTTAGCTAATTTGGACATTTTTGATTAAGATTTTTAGTTCCCTAGAGATATAACAACAAAAACAACAACACTGCAGGGGCTTAAAGCACATATGAAAATGATTTTCAAATGAATCTCTTTGTAATCTATGTACATTTCCAATGTAAAATACAAACGTTTAAAGTCCTAACTTAATTATAACCATATAGTATACATATGTTTTATACAATATCATAAGCGCCATAGATGTGGCCAGCCAAGATATATCCTATCTATCCTATGTACAATTGTTTTGTTCGACAAATCTGAGATGCTGCTCTGTGCAGATTTCTTTAGGGATTTATGTTTTGTCAGACCAGACGCCATGCGCAAAAGGTAATATTTATGCAACTTACATACATACATGATATTCATCAATTATTTAACAAATATAATTAACAACATAATATGTACAATACTTTTAATCAAAATGAATACAATTTTGTCTCTTGCCAATGTTCCTAGCGATCCATTACTTTTGGCGCCTTTTTCTCCGTTTTGTATTGTGTTTTCGAGAAATCGTTTTGCAAGCAGCCCAAAATTTCAAATTTCAATGTCCCATAAATAATTTGTATCGTGCTATTATTTAAATTGCATTTAGTTTATGTTTGATTTGGACTTTTTTTGAATTTTACTTTCAACTGCGGTGAATTATGTAAAACAAACACCACGAAACTCGTTCTCGGACCTACGCGAATACGTTTCCGGTTCAGTATTCTATACGTATGACAAATCCTTACCAGGCAGCAGCTGTAACAGAAACTTTCTTTCGAATCTTTGAGACCAGATCTAGTTAACTTCTCTTATGTTGAATTCATTTATTTTACTTTTGTTTTTTTTTTCTTATTCGGTTTTTAATTGTTTTTTACTACTACAACTTCTTTCAAATAATTTTTTGTAATGGTCTGCTGTGGTAAATGTGAAGTCTTTATGTTATATTCGTTGCTATAGATGCTCGCCCTGCTTCCCCTACACTGTTAGACAACACGGGCCACCCTGCCCCCGATCACCAAACGCAGGTAAATACTCTTTCTCTTTTGTTTTCTTTTGTTTGAAATAAATACTTGAAGAAAAAATTAAAAAAAAAAAGAAACAAACTCTCTATTGTTTTGAAAATAAATGCTAAAAAAAAAGAAAAAACAATACTTAAAAGAAAAAAGTTAAGAAATCGCAAAAATATATATAGCCACACCTCATACGCTACAAAAGCTACAGATACTATTATTATTAATACTACTACTACTACTACTACTACAACTACTACAACTACAACTACTACAGCTAAAACTAACTTGCTATCTCTGTCACTCATTTGGTTTTGGTTCTCTTCCCGAAAACAATCAAGTGTTATATACAAACTCAATCATCCAATAACAGATGCATTATGTTCACACTGGCATTCCCACTGTCCCACTCATACATACGATCTGGAGACTCATTCTATACAACATCAATAATCGTATCGTGCAAGGCTCTCTCATACTAACATTCGATACCTAATACAATCCAGTGTATTTGTATATTATGTAATCATGAATTGATCGTCCATTGTTTTCGTCTCGCTCGCTCTTATTGCTAACGCATACGTTTCATACTCAATTACTCTGTCTATATATCTAAATATATATATATATTTATGTATACTCATTCACTCTCTATAAATACTGATCTATGTTTGTGCGTATATCCAATGCTCTGGTAATCCATCCAAAACGCTTACAGTACAGTACATGAACAAAATTATGCTTATCCTATATAGAAGCGATATACATGTTTTCAACTATGTATGTATAGCTAGCAACATGTTTTATAGAACCTCGCCTAGTACGATGAATAAGCCAACAGACCAACAGACAAACAGAACCAACAGAACCAACAACAGCAACAACAACTTAAATATAAATAAATGTAAATTTTTGTAAACTAATCAGCATCAATCAAGCAAGCAATCAATCAATCAATCAATCAAACAATTCGTCCGTGTACATTAACCTACATACATACGTATGATTGTTCAGAAAATACTTAAACTTAGCATATATCGTTTAACTGCATATACCGCACATATTATTAGTGTGATATGTAACTATAACAAATATATATGTGTGTATAGTCTGTAAATTGCATTTGCATTGCGGCAACGGCAAATACTTAGCTTCAGCTAGTCTTGAAAGAGGCATCATAGACAGTACCTATAGCACCCAATCATTCACATTTACTTACCTGATTTACTTACTTAATGTTATTCAATTTATTCCGTAAGCGCAACATTTTTGCCATTTTATTTTGTTGTTACATTGTTTTGCATATCTTTTTTTTTTTTTTTGGTAAATGATTCACTTGGTTAACTTAATTTAATTGATAAATACATACTTTTATACATTTAATTGCTTAAGCTTCCAGATATAAATACAGTTTTCACAGAACTTTCAAAACTGGCGCTAATATTGATTCAAACATTTTTTTGAATTGTACATTTTATAGGCTGTTTTTTTTTTAATTTAATATCTTTCTTGGGCTAGCAACTAGAGAGTGTGTAAATACATAAGTACATACAATTGATGAACGTACTCAACACCCAAACGCAAACAATTAAATACCAGATACGAATTATCGCTGATAAGATGTGCTAACCCGTATACATACTCGTACTCGTACATAAGCATAACTAAAATATATTTAAATACTTTTTGATTTCCTTACTGCGTATACGCTACTAATTACATATCTATTAATTGCTACTATTACTATATGGAATATTGGATGTAATGTGTACAAATTTCTATGTGATTCACTGTATGTGTAAACTATTCGATTTTCTTTTCGAATCATTTATGTTGTTCGGTTTTTGCCTATTCATTTTATCCTTTCATTTCGGTTCGTTCTCGAGTATGCCTTTCTTTAAGCTCCATTAACCTGCTCATGTATGATTTATATGATTCACGAAATATCACAGTATTCTTTTGTTTTATTTTATTTTATATTTTTTGTTTTTGCGTTAGGCTACTTTTGTCTTATGATTCTTACCAAAGAAAACACCTAAGGTACGAAACAAAACAAAACAAAAAAAATAACATTTTCAAACTACTGGACGCTGATTGCACATCAATTTTGTGAAAGATTGACACGAATAACTTCAGGCGAAACTTTCGAAAGGGTTTTCAAAGCATTTTATACACATACACACATATACACATACATACGTATAGAATGGTTATATTTTATTATTTTAGGTAGTGTACATACCTAGAATTCGCCAATGCCAACATTTTTGAATAGAGTTCTTATGTTACCTCCCTTCCCACCCCGGCCAACCATTGATTTTTTGGTACATACTTAATTTGAACTTTGATTTTTGATTACTGCAAGCGTTTGCCAGTTTTTTGAGCGTACTTTAAGGCATATTTGTATATTCTAATTTCAATTGAGAAACGTTGCTAGTTCTACATAATTTTCACATTCCAATCAAATGATTTATCACAAATGTTGGCAAACTTGTACTGTCATTCGTTTTGCTTTCATAGAGGAAATCCCAAGAATCTCTCAATTGGAATACACTTTGATCTGTAGATGTCAAATTTGCTTTGTGGCGATTGTGGCACTCTAGAGACTTAAAGATATTTCCGGTATTCGAGATTGTCAAACTTCCATTTCACAGTTTTTATCGAGGTTTTGCCTTAGCCTAATATATATATTGACATATATCTATATATGTATACTTAGCAAATACGATACGTTGCGTAGTAGTTGAACGTAGTTGCAATTACTAGCTAACCAATCCGATCCCGTTATTTGACTAACTAACTAACTTGTAGGCGCGCTTGATGAACCTCAGCAGCAGCAACAACCTAGTTGAATTGAAAAATAACAAATACGCTAAATTTATGACAATTTTGCGAATGCATTCGTAACATCGTGTAAATGATTACGTATATAATGCCATAAAATACAATTATTTAAATGATTAGTTGCCAATTTTTAAAAGAGCCTTCAATCGATTGGAACCACTCGACTAATTCGCTATATTTTGGTATATATTCGAATATGGCCAACTTGCAGATGATCGGCCGCGTTGGTAATGTTGGCATGCAGCAGCAGCAGCAGCAACAACAGCAGCAGCAGCAACAACAACAACCATATGGTCAGCAACAGACGCAACAACAGCAACATCAACAACAAATGGGCATGGGACAAACTGGAATGATGGGCATGGGCCAACAGCCGATGGGCATGATGGGCCAGACACAGCAACAACCGCAGCAGCAACAGCAGATGGGCCAGCAGATGGGTCAGCAAATGGGCGGCATGGGCCAAATGGGCATGGGTCAAATGGGTCAGCAGCAGCAGGTGCCTGTGACGACGCAGGCGCCAACGGGCGGACTCTTCTCCGGCGCAACTAGCCTGCTCTCTGGTGCTACTTCGGCTGCCACCGGTGGTCTATTTGGTTCGAAGCAACCACCCAAAACGGATCCAATGCAACCACCTGGCGGTGTGCAGCCAACGCAGCAACAAGCAAACGCCTTCGGTGCCCAACAAATGCAACCGGGCATGCAGCAGCCTGGCATGCAGCAGCCTGGCATGCAACAGTCGGGCATGCAGCAGCCGGGCATGCAACAGCAGGGCATGCAACAGCAGGGCATGCAACAGCCGGGCATGCAACAACAAGTGCCACCGCAAGCTCAGCCGCCGCCACAGGGGCCGGGCGCCGGCCTGCTCGGTGGCCTCAAGGGCATTGCAGCAGCGGCGCCCGGCGGCGATGTACTCTCGAAAGGCAAAGATCTATTTGGCAAATTTGGGTTCGGCTTTGGCAAATAACCCTGGTCATTCCATAGGGTCCTGTTATATTATTCGTAGATTAGACCTATTATTATGATTATGATTATTGCTATTAATTACGATTACTAAGCTAATATATACATATACGTATACACAATTATACAAAGATAAACTTAAAAAAAAAAAAGAAAAACAAAGAAGTAAAAAAACAAAAGCAAAACCTATGAAAAATCCAAGAATTCCCAGTTAACTGTGGGCCTATGTGAATGATGTTGTAATGTTGATATGATAAATGCAACTAATAGAACTAATGATAATATTTTTTATTAATACAATTGATAGAAATATAAATAATACTAAATGCTAAACAGACACAAAAGAAAAACAAGCAACATTAACATCACAAACAACTAAATAATATTAAAACAAAACAAAAAAACACATAAATTGTTGTAAAATTGATTTAATATATATAAAATTTGCAGTTTAAGTAACTTGATAGCAAAGAAATAAAAATAAAATAAATATATATATAAATATATATATATAAATTACAACTAACTAAATGAAAAAGAAATAGACAAGCGAAGCGTGCTTTATTGCAACTTCACAGACACACACACGACACACATACTAACACACACACATATATATATACATATAACATATATGATACATACATACGTCTAAAGGGGTGGAAGTAAATATACATATATTATATACATATACATACATTATATTTACAATTATTTGTTAACGCACATTGTTAAATTTGCTACTGTTGCTGACCAGTTTATAAATAAAATACGAGTAAAAAACAAAAACAAAAACAAAACCCAAAAACTAAAAGTGAAATCCAAAACATACATATATTATATATATTTAAAATATATTAAAACCAAAACATAAAGAGAATAAAAAGCAAAAAAAAAATTACACATTTAAATTAAGTCTATAAATCAAAACCTAAGTAAACTAAAGGAAAGTTGAGCAATATAAATGGCGCTGGACAAACCCAAACTATGCAGAAGTACTTATACATATAGAGGGGTTAACGATATGATACGAACCTATACATATACTACATATGCTACATATACTACATACACACATGCAAACACACATGCATGCTGACATGTATACATTTAAACAAATTCATATATGCCTGTTAAGCAAACATCTATTTGGCCAAGGGATAAATTACTCAGCCGTCTTTCATTGGAGCACAAAATGACGATCGCAAGCCTTCAAGAGACTCAGAAACCGTCTATCCGATGCAATTCTGATGAGCTAATTGAACCCAAATCCTGCAGCTTTAATGCTTGTTGTTACGTTTGAAAAGACAAACAAAAGATTAACCAAATAAATACAATTTAAAAAATGAAGATAGAAAACAAATGCTTAACAACAAATAAAACTGAACGTCGTACATGTGTGGAATACAAAATTATAATAAAATAAAACATTTTCACAAACACGAGATCTTACCTTACATACCTACATATACATGTATGCATACCATTTTAAGCAGGACATGAAATATGTTTGGCAAATTCTATATGAAAATTTAAAAGTTTAACTGTTTTATTCTCAAGTCTACAAATCGAACCTTCCAGCTACTTACTATTGACTATCCATAAAGAGAAACACACATATTTACCTTAAAAAAAAAAAAATAACAAAAAAACAAAAACAAACCAAATTTAAAGGTTGCTTTGCTTAAATACTTAACTGGCTACAGTCCGTTATGACTGTATGCATACCACTTTCTTTTTCATAATTGTTTTTTTCTGTACACACGATTCAAAGATGTTTCCTAATGTTTATTAATTGCTTTAGCAACATACACAAAAACCTAAAAGAAACAACAAAAAAACACAAATTAATTGCGTGCATACAAACAAAATACAATGCGTACCTCTTGCTTTATGAAAACAGAAAGTATAAAACCTAAAAAAAAAAAAAAAGAAAAACAAAAAACACAAATGAAAATAAAAATATATAAAAATTAAACAAATACAAAAACTATGAAAGTATGAAATATTTGTAAATTGGATTGAGGGAAAATGAATTGTGAGCGAATTATTACTTTAATCAAATGGCATTTTCCAGCACTGGAATCCTTCACAAGCAAAACGACCATAGAAACTACTAATATGAATGTTGCGCAACACTGAAATTAATGTAGATTCAGATTCAGAACTCAACTGTACATTGTAAACTGGCAAATAGCTGCAGATACATACATCTTAGATACTCATGTATGCATGTACATCAGCAGAAATAGTTAAATATGATTCCAGTCGAATGACGACGACAAAGTGTGTTAAATACATACTCAAACCAGCATATTATATATATATAATTAATGAAACAAGTGTTAACTTTTCCCACGTAAATAATTTTTACCTTACAATCAAATCATTGTATTATTTAGACACACAGCTGAGAGGCAACAAGTAACAAAAACCAAACTTAATTTTACTATTAACTCACATTATACACAGAACAGGAATTGACAAGCAACTTCGGACATCCGAAGCTTATATACCCTTACAAGAAGGTGAAGAAAAATCACATGTGTCTCGCTCGAAATAAAAATCCGTTGTTTTTGTAATCTTGGCTAGAATGCATATGTACATATAGTATAGTACGATTCAGGTAAATGAGGGGATCTTTGCAGTAAGGGTATATTAATGTCTGCCTCAATAAACACACACACACACACATACACACACACACACACACACACACACACACAAACATACACACACACTACTTAGAAAGATTTACAGAAAGTACACAATTTATTTGAAAACAAAACACACAAAGTAAAAGAAATAAAACCTGTTAAAAACAAATGAAGATAATAGCAAAAAGAAAAAAAAAACAAAGAGAACTACGCATTACGGAAAGATAAACAAAAACAAACTAAATTGTTATACGGTATTATTATACTTTTTCTATAACTTATTATTTCCTTATTGAATAACAAAACAAAAAACAAAGTGAAAAAATAATAATTAAACAACAATTTAAAAAAGAACAAATGCTCATTTTTGCTCTGCTTGTGTTTAACAATTTGATTTGGGCGTCGCGTTGCTTGAACCGCTCCTGTGCCTGAATTTTAGTGCAGAAATATATAAAGACTCTCTTAGACTTGATTAATCCTGCCATTAACATGCAAAAATCTGCCTTTATACCACAATTTATAAAATAACAAATTCAGCCTTCTTAATCTGATTGTGTTTAACAATTTGATTTGGGCGCCGCGTTGCTTGAACCGCTCCTGTGCCTGAATTTTGCTGCAGACAGACGCTATATATCTTGCTTAGAGCTGATTAATCCAGTAATTAATACGGCAAATTCGCATGCTTGTTAAAGGAAAATTTAAAGAAGAACAAATACAGCCGTTTTGCTTTAAAGGCTCCTAACTCTGACGTTTAGTCCAGAGATTAGCCCTTTATATGTATGCACAGAGTTGCTTAGAGCTGATTAATCCAGCAATTAATATGGAAAATTCGCATGGTTAAACTCTATAAGTTATGTGACTATTTTTATTGCTTACCGTACAGAAAGGAACTACGTTCACTTTAGAATAGAGCGTATTTAAACGGAATACAATCAAGTAATAAAGCACAATTAAGTTGTATATATTTACAGAGTGGCTGCTGTGATAAACACCAGCGGTTGACTTAATATACTATGCATATCTAAGCTGCTATATGGCCGTCATATAAGCGCAAAGTTGTGATCTACGAGCGCACGCGAGCCCACGACTGGCGACAGACAGGTGGACAGACGCCGCTGACGGCACAGCAATTAAGTGCCACAGCACGTTGTGACGTGGGTCAACATGACACAGCCACTAGCCTGTTCCCGCCAAGCGGAAATGGATATTATTGCGTTCTATATATAGTGAAGGGGAAGTGGAGGGGGGGGGGGGGGGACTACTGTTTGGCCTCCAGTGGGAATAGCTGCTGATCGTCGTCGCAAAAGCGTATATTCCCGGTGACGGGCAGCATCTGTTGCTGCTTGAGGCTCATGTGCTGCAGCACTAACAGCACCTTGTCCCTGGCCAGCTCCTTGGCCACGGCCATTAGCATTTCTACAAAGGTTGCATCGAACTGCATGAAGCGACCGCAGTGCAGGACAATTGGAAAATCATTGCGGTAAAGCAGGCAAGCGGAACGGATCTCCGAGCGCAGCGTGTCCACGCCCGTGTAGAAGATGTCCGACTGGGGCACCACATGCACATAGAAGTTGGACTCGTGCTGCTTGAGGTAGACCTCGATTTTGGGATTGCCCAGACGCAGCAGTATGCAAATCATGCTGACCACAATGCCAAAGAGCAGGCCCATCTCCACGCCAGCGATCAAACATATGATCAGACTGCCCGTCCAGCTGAAAAAGTCCTTCTTGTTGGACGGCCACAGCTCCTTGATGGGTGTCAGGTCGATCTGTACATTAAATCTAGAATTATGTCCACATATTATACAAAACAGAACCTACCATAAACACAACTGCCGCAATGAGCACAGCTGCCAAGGATGCTCTGGGTATATACTGAAAGTAGGGCGTCAATATCGACAGCGCGGAGAGCACAATTAGACCCGTATAAATGCCAGCCATGGGCGTGCGCACGCCCGATGCCTGGCTGACCGCGGAACGCGTGAAGGCGCCACAAGTGGGCATGGCACTGAAGAAGGAGCCGGCCAAATTGCACAGGCCCAGCGTCAACATCTCCTGCGAGGCATCCAGCTTGCCATCCTTGACTGCAGGCGAAAATTAATAAAATCATGAGGAGTTGATGAGCAACAGTTTAGGTGCACATATTACGCATACGCACCGAAGGCCTTGGCAATAGCCACATTGGCCAACACGGCCACAATGGGCACCAGTATGACCCCGCTGCCCAGCTCGTGCAGAATATCGGTGAACACATAGGTGCGATTCTGGTACTCAAAGGCGAAGGGCGGCAACTTGAAGCTGGGCATGGCCGAGGATACCTTCGAGGAGAGCGCAAACGGCACCGCGTCCAGCGAGCTCCGGTGCACCCACATGTACACCAGCAGGCCGCTGAAGAAGACCACCAAGGCATTGCGCGATATGCTGATGTACCAGAGCACCTTTTTCAGGCGTTGATTAAGCGGCGTCTCTTGCTTAAACTTGACTTGGGACAGCAGCTAAGTCGGGTGGCAGCAAAGTAATTGTGTGATCTTCAGATGTGGTTTATGTAGACTCACCCGCAGTGAGAGCAGAAGGCAAAGGCAAGCAATGCCCAGGCTGGCATCCGAACCACGAATATTGCTAAAGTAGTCACCCATTGAGGTCACCTTCTTCAGACGAATGCCCAGCAGACTCTTCAGCTGTGCCATCACCACAATAAAAGCTGTGCCAGTCGTAAAGGCTTTCGTCACGGGCGCTGGTATAAAGCTGACTATGAAGCCCAACTGAAAGATGCCCATGAGCAGCTCGACAAAGCCGGCGAGAAAGGCCAGCACGATGACCATCTGCACCGGCTTGTCCGCACAAAACTGCAGCGTCATTATGGCCATCAGGCTGGTGGGTCCGATCGAGACCTGTGGAATTGTGCCAAAGAACACATATATGATGGAGCCAATAAATGCCGAGTACAGGCCGTATTCCGAGGACAGACCCGCCAGCGCCGCATACGCAATGCTCTGTGGTATGATGGTTAGGCCCAGTGTGATGCCCGCAATGAGATCGGCAAAGGCCTGCGGCCGATCGTAGCTGCGTATCCAAGTGAGTATGTAAATGCGACGCAGCAGCCAATGCGCCTCCTTGGGTGCACTGTATCTGCCTTGCATGTCCATGTCGAGCGTGTGTGCCAGCTCATAGCTATCGTCGCCATTTTTCGCCGTGTACTTGACCCCATCTCCGTCGCAGTTGGCTGCAAACGAAAATTGGCAAATGTATTCTCAATATTCTTGCACGCTCCTCGTCTCATCCTACGATCGTAAATGCTGGACACCGTGGCCTGCGGCCGTGTGCCAGGCACCCCAATTCGGCCCGTGGCTATGCCAAGCGTGCGCTTCCACGGCCAACGCATTTCGTACTGATTTTCGATTTTGCTAATGGGCAAACTTTAACTGAATTTTGTTTGTTTACTTTTCTGGCCAGGGGGATATTTTTAGAGTTAAGCCAGTATGCGACCTGCTCGAAAGCGCGATATGTAGCACCTGGCAGTCCGCAGCCGAGCCGGAGTTGACGTATTTTTTCCCCCAACTGTGTGAAAGCTTAATTAAATTTTTGCCGTCAGGCACGACTAGGTAGATAGATGTTATTATAAAGAGAGAAAAAACAGCTGAGGCTCTCTATTCGTATCGGAACAGATCTGTGCGCCAATTGAGAACCTGTTTGCCCTCAATTCATTATATGCAAATTTCAACTTTGCACTTTGCAAGTGTTTTCATATTTGAAATTTACAAATCCCGCTCAACTTTCAACTAGAACCATCTTCTAAGTGCAACTATCCTAGTTACTTATTTATTTAATTACTACATTAACTTTTCATATTCTTTGCTCAATGTCTCATGCCCAAAGTCAAGGCCTAGTGCCTGGCTTTGAGCTTTGCACAATATTTAATTTATAGATTAACATGTTTTTCTTTTTTGTTAACCCCAAGTGCTGCTCCGTTGTGAATGCGTCCTATTAATAGGTTGCTAATCCAAATATTGGACTGACTCATCAAATTTGGCGTTAATAATTGTGTGGCGAAAAAAAGTTCCACTTTGTGTTTAATTTACTAATATCTGATTTGTGTGCTACGTATATAATTATAGACACATACGTACTTTAGCATATTCATTTTATCGTATCGCTAATTTAATTAAAAGTTCGGACATGTCCACAGCGCATGTATTGTCTATAGAATTTTAAATAACTGCCGGCCTCTAATTATGTCAATTATAATATGAATTTATTATTTCCGTTATTATTCTCAAACTTGATCAGACTGGGTAAAAAAAACTCTTTATTGTGTTTTCGCCTGTTACAGAATTTTAGCTGAGTAAGTTCATCCAAATAATTCAATTACATCAAATAAATTGTTATATGACTGCGTTTTTAAACTTTCCTTTCAACTTAATAATACAAATTCTTCTTCCCAGCGAACGACTTTATAAAATATTTGTACATATCCTACGAGGAACTCATCGGATCTGTTATGATTTCAACATGTTTCACAAGGAAGTTTGAATAAATTCTTATCTTGAAATCTTAATAAAAGTTTATAGATCTTAAATATATTCATAAATATATCTCCCAAGCGTGAGCAGGTTTACTCAAACCTGTTTTTTAAAAATCTATTAAGCCATAATTTGTTAAAAATGGCACGGTTTATTCCTTCACAGTCTGCGTACCAGACACGATCTTCAGCAAATAAATCAAATTGAGTGCAAAATTTCAGATATATACATACGTTAATCTATATACTGATCTATATATATACACACAGTTAGGCACTGACCGTAGATAACACACCATTAATTAGGCATTGTCAGCAAATTTATGTGAAATTTGAGTAAAAGTAAAGTTCAACTAAATTGAGCGAATCGCTGTTAATTGTTCAAAATGTCACAAATTTATCAAGCGAAGCCTACACAAAGGCAAACTTTAAATAAAAATAAAAAAGCTTTATTTAAATCAATTTAATAAAGTGTATAATACAATTTCGTGGAATTAGAAAAGTTTGCCCTTGCCACAAGCTAATCCGCGAGATAACCCAGAATATTTCCAAGAAAATCTGTCTGCAGCACATTTACAATTTGTGTGTCTTATCAATTTGAGAACTTTTTTAAGACGAATCACTTTCTTTAGAATAACTATCAAACGTACCATCAAAGGATAATTTTTTGGTTAATGACATTTTAATATGCTCGCAACGATATCCGTTTATGTTAACCACAACTAATGTATTTAGTTCAAGGATTAAGCGAATTGTTTATTGCGGCTACGCGTGAGGCCAAGTGCGGCGCTTCACAATCTAAAGAAAACTGCCGAATGCGGGAATTTTGGAACGATAAATATGCGAGAACGGGCAGATCTGTCTGATAAACATGAAAAATGAAAAGAGTCAAGAAAACGGCGACATTTTGTCATCTTACGCCCAATGCCAACAACAATGAGACACTTAACGCCCATACGGTAGGCAGATGGATAAACAAACATTTCGTTAGGCGTGGAGGTGGCGGGCTATCCACAGTTGCCCCACTAGAGCTGAGAGCACAAGATAGTTATATATCTATGCATATATCTGGAGACAAACTATTTGAACAAGCCCCTCGGCTGCGATAATATATTCGCCGATCTGCGGTTGATAAGGGAAAGCGTACTGCCTTTCTGTGGATGTTAAGTATTTTTCCGTCTGTGGCAATCGAACGATCAATCAGACGTTCCAGAATGATAAGTCAAAAAATAACCAGGTCAATATTTAAACTAAAACTTAGACCAACAGGCAAGTACAATACATCTGCAGCACATAGCTATATTTATTAATTTGGACAATGTGATAATCAGTAACGTCTTGTGACAGCATAAATCTCCTTCTCTGTAAGTTGCGAGTGACAATAATTGATGATCTGATGCTGCACAAGTGTTAATTCAACTATGCAACAATTACAAGTCTCATTACAGCTAGAGGCTATCGCGAGGCTGTAAGGTGCTAATCTTTTAATTTGTTGTAATCATTTATCTGACGATAAGATAAGCTATCGTTTCTATCCTCGACTCTGGATACCTTCAATGAATTTACTTCCCCGTAAATGTGCAAAAAGTTAACATCTGAAGGTCAGTGGGCGTCTGGGCTGTTTATGTGATGGACAATTGGTCTCATTTTCTTACCGCTATCTACAAACAAATACCTAACACCGCATTCATATCGCAAAAAAAAAGAAAACAATGCTATTTTTATCTCAATAGTCAAGATAAGAAATGGGTTGGTTTATAAATAAGTTTCTCCATCTTAACTATTTATAATATAACACTAGTCTACAAATATAGATAAATAAAAGAATTATTGCTTAAATTATGAATATATAGTAATTGGTTTGATTTTTTAAAAGCAGTATTATAAGAGGAATAAATATTGCTTTAGTGTCTGAATTGTCGGATCAATGGGTCATGTCCAATTTAAAAAATCGCGCCGTGTTGTAAGAGTTCGTTTTATATTCGATAAGTACAGTAGTATCGATATACAATATATCGTAAGCAGCCAGATGTATTCATTGCAAAGATTTTTGAATAATAATATGTATATCTGTTGACACATATTTTATAAAAATTATTTCTTTGCACTGTGCCCATTTATAAACATCGATACTTGACATTAACTTACAACCATTTTAGGGTTGTAAAACACATATCGATATCTGGCCATAGTTGAATAAAATATGCAGTTCAGCTAACTTTTGTGCAACCTTGTTCGTTTATCGCAGCGAATAAAAATATAATTAGGAAAAATATATTTATCTGACGTTAAACAACTTAAGCGCCGTCGCTATTGCTCGTTTTTTTGCCCAAAAAAGCCAGCCAGTGAGAAGCGCAGAAATAGGAGGCGAGGCGACCATTGAACGAAAGCAAAAATTCGCAAAATTCAAGCAACGAGTGCGAGTGAAAAAGTGCAAAGGCAGAAGAAGAAGGAGGAGGTAAAGCAGAGGCAAAGTAGAAAACGACTAGCCACAAAGCACGAAAGGCTAACCCCCAAACAAAAAGAAGTGCGTGAATATTTAGAAAAATTAACGCCCGACCGCCATTAGTGTTTTTGTTATCGTCGTCGTCGTCAACGTTTTATTTGTTGTTACTCGGAAAAGGTGTTGAATGCTGGCTCCGGGAAAGGCGAAGAAGATCGGGCGACAACTCCTTCATTAAAGCGAGCATATTGTCGACATCGTACCCGTTCCCCGTCTCCATTTCTTCCTTGTATCTGTTGTGCATCGTGACGTCGCCAAGCGAAATTCAGATTCAGCCACCCAGCCAAAGCCAGCGAGAAGAGATACAAAGCAAAGAGCCAATAGACAGAAGCAGCAACAGAAATCAGAAGTATTTAAACAAAAAAAAAAGAAGAGAGAAAAAAAACAACAGAAAAAGTAGACGCAACCGAAGAAGAAACGCATAAAAATAAAATTTAAATCAGAAATAAGTTCAACTGAAAGCAGAGCTCCCCGTGCGTTCGTCGACTTTTGGTGCTGGCAATTGGCAATTGGCAATTGGCTTGCCCATCTTCTATTATGAACAACAATAGCAAGCGGAAAAGTCGACCTAGTGGCGGAGGCGGTGGCGGTGCCAGCGGCGGCATCTCAAGGTAAGAAGAAGCGCTGCTGCTGCAGTTGAAAAAGCACGAAGCGAATGCAAAGGCAAACGCACGAAGAAAAACACGGGCTAAGTGTTGTTGTGGGGTGCCCGTTGTTATTGTTGGAGCTAGTAAAAAAATAAAACCGCTCCAGGTTCCGCTGCCGTGAAAGGTGAAAGCGCGCGATTCGTTATTTTTTTTTTATTGTGTTTCTTTATCATTTTTTTTTCTTCTCAATATTCTTTTCTGTTTTTGTCAATTGCGTATCGCATGGAATTTGTAAAATTTAATGCCAACTAAATAAGAAGAAGGGGTACAAGCAATCAGTGCAAATTGCAATTACTTATATAATACGTCGCTCATGCATGTGTTTGTGCGTATGCGTGCGTGTGTGTGTGTGCGTTGGATCTGCTGATGGCGCTGGCCATGTACACATATTGTTTTACAATATGTGTTTGTGTGTGGTGTCATATTTTGAGCTTTGTTTACATTTCCCTTGCACAAACCCTCCCCAAAAGCAAAAAGAGGAGAAAACAAAACGACATAAACTATGTATAAAAAGCACAATGAATAATTTGTTTAAAGGCATCCAATTGTCCAGAAAAGCACACAAATGCACACACACACACATACATACACAAACACTCGAGCAATGAATATCTGAGAGCTCCCCACCATCTTCTCTTCATCAAACCCTTTAAATTTTCAATTGAAATATGACTGCCATACATAAATACTTACATTCTTACATCGATATTTGCGTACATATCTTTCTTATTTAAAGCTAAAATACCTAAACAATTGTTTTTTGAAAAAATTGTTGTATATGTATTTGTGTGTATATGTACAAGTGCGCACAGTGTTACCATGCCATTTCAATGCAGTTCACTATTTTTCAGCTGTTTGTGACCCACTGCAGTGCACGCTCACGACGTGCACATATCGTATTTTCTTTTTCTGCTTTGCTTGCCTCTTTTTCGTATGCATTTTTCTTGCATTGTCAGCATTTTGCTGTTTGCTGCTGCTGTGTGACGTGCGACACGGCGGCCGCTGCCGCTGCTGCTGCTGCTGCTGCCTTGGCACACTTCGCCTCCCGCCGGGCAAACAAAATTTGGGTCACTACAATTTGCTGACCGAACATTTGGTATCGCATCGTTCTTGTGCTCCCTGCCACTTCTCAGTTTATTCGGCATTCTGCCTATGCACACTTGCATTTAAGCCCCGGTCGTCTCAGCTATGTATGCATGTGCATGCATGTTTATGTATGTATGCACACATGCACGCCTCGGCCTATTTAGTTCGTATTTTGGCCTGCCTTCTGTGTAGGTAAATGCGCAGATGCGCTATCATGCGATTCCTCGATTCTCGGCCCACCTTATCAATGAGCCACTCTTGCTTCACGCATGATTCATTTTAAAACGCAAATCAATTATTTGCCTTCATTGACGAAAGTGTGCGCAGTGCACCATATAGCTTGCATTACTTCCAGGGGATAGTGTATATATATAATTATTATTATTGTTGCTGTGCGTGTCTCAGTTCATTGTGCGTTGCTGCGAGCTGGGCATTTCACGGTCGTCGATCCTGCACGCAATCAAAACAACCCCAAAACGCGTTCATATAGAAACATTTGGGATATATAATGAGCTAGTTCTGGTCCTCCAGAAATAAATTGCTGTAAATAGCTTCAACTAATTCTATTTAATCAAAAATTCTTTGAACTCTTCATTTATAACTAAACTACAGCTAAAGTCTACAGCCAAAAACAGTTATCCAAAGGCTCTAAGCAACAGATAAAACTAGAATAGAACATACACACATACACTCAAAAAGATAAATAACATAGATAAAACAAATGAAAATGTTCAAGTCGTCAATGCCAGACTAAAGGATACCCTGCACCTTGCTAAGAATAGTCGTTACATTACTTTCCTGCCACATGGCAATCCAACATTCTTTACATATTTTCAGGACGTTAACATAAATAAATAAATTAATTATATAACTTAATTATAAATATGCACAGATAAGCGGATAGATGCAGATCAAAATTTTTGTTTTAAATTTATGGGGTCAGCGATTTTTTTTTTGATACTATTTTGAATGGGTGCGCAGGGTATGAACAAAGGGCAGGTGTGTGCATATTTGATTTAGTTCATGAACAGGGAAGCATTTTTAAAATCGAGTTCACTGGACTGAACCAAAGCGCAAACATATACACACACACACACACACACACACACACACACACATATGATATGACCAGCTCTTATTTACTTTCGTGGGCTGGGCAGGGCGTGGTTTGGGGTAGGGGACTACGGACCCACTAACAACAACAGCGACGACGACGACGACGGCGACAGCGAATCGATATCGTAGCCCAGCGCATCGCATCGCAGCGCAGCGCAGTGCAAGCGTCGATGTCGACCCTGAGCAACGTTCGGGCTCGATTGCTTTTGCTCGTTTCGGTTGCTTTGCTTTTGCTGGGCTAACCAAGAGACCCGAGCTGGGTTGATAAAATTTGGGTGGGTGGGTGAGGTGAGGTAGAGAGGGTGTCTGCTTAAATGGTAAGTCGTACTAATGGCTCCGTTTGCTGTTTTCCTTACAGATACAACGCCAACGACAACAGTTTACGGCAAGCGAACAACAAGGCGGGCGGCGTCGGTAGCGGCAGTGGCGGCGGCGGAGTTGGACGTTCGCTGGCGCAGGGCGTCTATAACAACACCTTTTTCATGCACTCGGCAACGGCGCTGGTCGGCAGCGTTGTGGAGGTTCGCCTGCGTTCGGGTAATATTTATGAGGGCGTATTCCGTACATTTTCGGGCAATTTTGACATCGCACTGGAGCTGCCGGCGTGCATTAAAGCAAAAAATCAGCCCGATGAGGGCAAAACAGTTCCCAAACACATCATATTCCCGGCGGACACCGTGGTAACCGTAATAGCTAAGGATTTCGATTCGCAATACGCGACTACGGGCGCATTTAAGACCGACGGCGCCATATCCGACAAGTGCAACGGTAACTTGAATCATGTTCATCTATGTGTAGCATTATCGATTGACTAAACGTTGTTGTTGTTCTCTTGACAGGCACACGCTTCGACGAAAAGGAGCTTGAGCCATGGGACTCTGGTGCCAATGGCGACATTGAAATTGAATTGGATGGCGCCGCCAATGGCTGGGATGCAAATGAGATGTTCCGCAAGAATGAGAATCAGTTTGGTGTCACGTCAACCTTCGATGATTCGCTGTCATCGTACACGGTTCCCCTGGATAAGGGCGATTCGTTAGAGTTCAAGGAGGCCGAGGCCAAGGCTGAGAAATTGGCGGCAGAGATTGAGAACAATCCCACATGCCGGGAGCGTTTGGATTTAGAAAATGGTGATGAAGAAACTCTTTTCGCTGCCGTCGAAAGACCAGCGCCAGATCATGAACAAGAGCGCGAGCGTGAGCGCATCGAACGGGAGAGGGAGCGCGAACGGGAGCGTGAAGAACGCGAACGTGAGCGGGAACGTGAACGAGATCGCGGCAATAAGCCACGTGGTGGCGGCCCAGGTGACTACCAGCTGCGTGAGACAATGAGCAGCGATCGTTACATCACCAAACAGACGCGCAGCAACAATGGGCCGCCTGGATCGCATGCTGTCATGTCCTCGCAATCTTCAACAGTGACCGGATCACGCGATCGTGATAATCGCGATTCGGTTATGATGGGTCAGCAGGGCATGGGCCAGGGCGGAGCAACACAATCGCAAGCAGTGCTTATACTGGCTGGCAGTTTGAAAAATCCGGGCCCATCCTCGGCGTCAGGTAATCCATCAGATACGGCAGCCGGCAGCAAATATGGCGGTGGGGGCTCGATGATAAAACGCAATAAGCCTGTGACGCAAGGCGGCAAAATATTGCGCGGCAATCCGCCCAACAACGTCGGCGCCGGCAACACATCAAATGTGCCACAAGGCAATAACACCAACAATGTGGGCAACAAGAGTGGTGGCTCATCAATGGGCATACAGAATCAGTTCTCCTACCAGAGCAACTCACAGGTTATACACGGGTAAGTGATCTCTTTCCACATGCTATGTCACATAGGAATTCTCAAGATTCAATTAATTTTAAATACTTTCACCACAACAGCTCCAATCAATACCGCAACCAAGGGCATATAAGCGGTGCGTCCAAATTGAACGGCGGCGAATCTGGCTCCAATACGGGCAAGCCGTTGCCTCAGCGCCAGATGCGCCAGTACCAGGGCTCTCAGAGCAGCTCCTCGCTCAATTATGGCGGTGATACGCAACCGCTGGGTAAGCCCATGCACGGTGGCCATGTTCATGGTGGCCACAACAGTAACTCGCCGCCACTGCAGACTGGTGGCCAGCAGCAGCAGCAGCAGCAGCCGCCGCCGCAACAACAGCAACAACCACAACAGCAACAGGCACAGCAACAGCACCAGAGTCAGCCGCAACAGCAACGTCAAGTACGCTCGCGCGATAATCAAACTCAGGATCTGCGTCAGTTTGGTCAGAACTTTCATCTGGTTAGCAACAATTCGCCGCCGCAGCAACAACAACAGCAGCATAATCTGCAACGTGGTGGCTTGCAGCAATCGGTATCACCGCCGCAGCAGCAACAACAACAACAACAGTCGCAAATGGTCATGCAGCATGTGCATGTTCCACCGCTTCATCACCAGCAGCTGCCACCACAACAACACTATGTTTCTCAGCAGCAGCAGCAGCCGCCACCACAACAGCAACATGCTCAACACATGCAACAAAAGGCGCCACCGTCGCAGCAGCAGCAGCAACTGGTTGCTGACAGTCAGCACCAGCATGTGTCCAAGCAGCAACAGCATCAGGGGCAGCCTCAGACACAGCCCACACAACAGCAACAACAGCAGCAGCAGCAACAGCAGCAACAACAACAGCAGCAGCAGCAACAACAACAGCAGCAACAGCAGCCGGTGCAGCTGGTCCAGGAGCCAAGCCAGCCACCGCAACCTATATATCAAGTTATGACGGTGGTGCCTCCTTCTAGCATACAACAGCCGCAAACTTCGCCCGTGGTGATAACCTCGCCAGCTATAATGGAACAGCAAGCGCCTCCGCCCTTACAGGCCACTCCAAAGCCGGACGCATCGCCAGCACCCAATATTGGTGTGGGGGCTAGTAGCAGCAGTAGCAGCACCACGCCCACGGGTATTGCCAACACGCCCACAACGGCCACCACTGGTGGTACCGGCACTGGGTCAGATAAGTCCACACCAGTGGCCAGTGCTACAAGCAGCGCCACGGCCACAGCCGCTGGCGGCACAGGCAGCAGCACCACTACCAGCGGCGCCACGCCTGTGGTAAAGAAACCACATGTGCTGAATCCATCAGCCAAGCCATTTACGCCGCGCGGTCCCAGTACACCCAATCCATCGCGGCCACATACGCCACAAACTCCGGTGCCCATGCAGACAATCTTCACGACCACGGGCGCCCATATGGCGGCGGCCAACCAACCGATCTACATGGTGCAGCAGCCGCATGCATTCCAAGCACCGACACATCCAGGCGGGCAGGCGCCGCGCATGCGTCGTAATAACTATGGTAAGTGGAGTAGCAGGTATACATATATATAGATGTGAGGAATCAATGTTGTTGTTATCTTTTAGGTCAATTGGGTGGATCACAAATGCATGTGTCAGCCACAGCGGCAACAGGACAGCCATTGATGGCCACGGCACCGTTACCACAATTCATTCAATACCAGCATACACCGCATCCACCACATTTCCAACCGCAATATGGCCCGATGCCGATGCGCGTGTATCCAGAGCAGCCGCAACAGTTACAGTTCTTGGCACAGACGACGCCATCGACGACGCCATCACCGGGTCAGCCGCATCAGGCTTTCCATCCGCCACCACAGCCCTCCCCTGCCGGCGGGGGACCTCAGCCCACATTCACAACCCAAGGACAACCACAGGCGGCATACCACCTGATGTGCGTACATCCCCCGCAGATCATGCCCAGTCCCTACTTCCAGACGTCAACGCCGCAGCATCCGCCGCAAAATCAACAGTTTCAGATTGTAATGCAGCAGCATACCACGCAGTAAGCTGTACGTTCTCGATGGAAACATTTGCGGCTGACGTCACAGTGGAACCCACATCAACAGCGTCAAAATCTCATAGCCCCTTTCCGCCCCACGCCCTACATGCACAGCAACACACCACACTCAGATATACACACACACACAAACACAAACATACACAGACACACACACACGCACACACACATGCGCATAGAAACCATCTCTGCATCGCCATCAACAACCACACTGATGATTCTTGGGCATTGCCTGGACAGATTGAGCTCCGATCAGTTGTATTCACCTCGCCAAGCCATTCGTAATGTCTATTATCAGGTGCGATAATGCGCTTCATCCTGCATCCAGCATACATCATACTTATACACATCGCAAGAGAAACACCAACACAAACAACTAGGAAATTATAAAATATAATTAACAAAAACAAAAAAAAGGAAGGGAAACTAGTGAATTTATCTAAAGCGCTCGAAAGCCAAAAAAAAAAAATGAATATATATATATATATATTTATATATGTATATATATATATATATATTTGTCATTGAATCAGCAAGAAGAACGTTGATTTCAGAACATCTCCAAAGTTGTTATCCGATGGCATTACTGATTTCTGTATATCCAATCTCTAATGACTTGTTTTGTGTATCGAGTTGCCTGTACCGTGTCCCGAAAATCAAACAAACCCCAATTGATTGAAATTGTGCTGTAAAACAAAAAGAAAGAATCAAATCAAAAAATTGAACTGAAGGAAAACACGTGAAGCCCAATTAAAAAAGAAAAAACCAATTAATATGAATTTTTGTAAAATTGCTTAAAGCGTAACTCTTGAATTCACTTCGGTACTATTGCTATACATATATATATATATATATATATATACATATATATATATAGATATAAATATATATAATTCGATGAGCTTTGACGTGCTTCAGATCAACACACACACACACACAGATACACCTACACACGCAAACTTAAAGCAGTAGAGCAGCAGCTCACATAGACAAACAAAAGCAATGGATGACCCGCGGACAAATTAATATCCAAAGTCATTATTCCAAATTTCCAACGAATATTTTCCATCAATCCAAGCAATTTGTTGAAAACACTCTAATAATATCTTACATCTATATCTACATCGTGGGATTGGTTTTTTCATTGGATATGCATGAGAACAAATTCCACTTTGAAAACCCAACACAAGTTCTGCTTGGTTCGCTGAAAAAAAATAAGTAGAGCGACGAATGTGAATTGAAGAGTCGATATTTTATTTTGAACTTTGTTGTAGAAACTGATTAATTTTGTTGAAATTTAATTTTGTTTGGACTTCTACATTCTCAATCAAAATTCTAAAAAAAAAAAAAAAAAATTCGTAAGAACACGCGATTTAAACTGAAATGTATTTTTATTGTTTTTTTTTTTTCTGATTGGTTTTTTTTTTTTTGCATTGTTCGAACAACAACATTTGCAAGCGCGCGCAAGTCTGAATCAGGTTTATGGGTTTTAGTGCCTCCGTTGTCCTTCAAAGAAAACGTCTTAATCCTTTGCCGGTCATCAATCAGTTCGATTCTGTTCAGTATGATCAATATTTGCATCTGTTGTGGTCCTGTTTTGTTTTGTAAAGTTTCCTTAAATGAAAATGAAAAGAAAGAGAAAATAATAATTATTAATTAAAATAAAAATAAAAAAAAAACAAAAACCACAAAAAAAAAACACAAAAACAAAACATCTAAATATCTTGTGTATTTATTACCGTTTAACGCAAGGGCATGACATCCCACCGCAGGATCTACAAGAGATAAGAAGAGTGTGTACAAGTCGCACATGTTATGTGTGCTCTGTTGAGATTTCTTTACCCAAACTCGTCAAAATGGCTGTGATATGATATAAAATACATAAGGTCACAGGCATTTTAACGACATGGTATAAGAAAATTGCAATGCAACAACGATAATCGTCCTTGCCAGCCCATCCTGCCGCCGAGGGCAATGAATTTGAGCAATTCGCACGAAACTCATCAAAATGGCTGTGATATGACTTGATAACGGCAACATTTCACAACCCCTTGAAGAGTTACGCAAGAATTGAGTGGGCTGGTCTTTACGTATCAAAGCGACGTTAGCTGTCGCCATAATGAGATGCAAACACTTGTTGGGTTTGTTGTAGTCCTGTTTATGGCGTGATTTGGTACTTTTCTGCTACCTTGCCCTTTGCAATGCCCATCAAAGCTGGCTGTGATACGATTCAATTGCAGATATATCATTCTCAGCCCTTTTTGATGACATTGAAAGTAAGACATGTACACACATACACACACGCACGCACGCTCACGAACTCTTATAAATTCACGTAACCAAGACGTTAACCGGCAATCTGGACGACGTAACGCTTTTGGGCGTAACGTTAAAGTACATAGACCTAAATGGCTTTCAATTTGTACGTGTATGTGTGTGTTTGTGTGTGTGTGTGTGTGTATGCATGTTTGGCATCTGCTGTAAGCCGCTAATTTTACTAATTTAAGCATGTCCCGGCACTTGCTTACGCATTACTTTTCTGCTTTGTAGGTTAAGTAGCCAAAAATCTGCTGCATGTTGCATGCCGTACACACTTTGTATGTGCGTATGTGTGCATAGCTAAACAGCAAAATGGCAACGCTGTCAACGACTGCGGCTGCGACTGCGACTGCGACGGTGACCACCGCCCTCAGCCGCAGCTTAAATGTCTGCCAGTCAGTCTAACTGTGAACTGTTGTCTGCACCATTTACGTACGAGTTTGTGTACGCATGTGTGAGTTGCGAGCGGGTGTATGTGTGCGTGTGTGTGTGTGTGTTGAGCGTGTTCATACACCCCTAGCGCGCGCCCTTTGCCTAGCATTCAGCGGCAGCAACAACAACAACCACCATTCGCATTTTGTTCATGTTTAGGGAGCGTTACGAAAGATATACGAATTTCGAATTGTTTGCCACAAATTGAGGCATTTCAATTTCCTGCAACATTTTCTTAAGTTTGTATTCAATATACACATATGCATATATGTATATTAAGGCAGCCGGTATCTTATCTTTTGACAATTTTCATCATTTGCAGTTTTAAGCATTTCAAACATATACGATAATGTATGTATATACTTGTGTGTGTATGTGTTTATAGGGTGTTGCCCAGTCGGCTTATTGATTTGTGTGCTAACTGTTGTTGCTGGCTCCGCTGCTGTCGCTGTCGCTGCTGCCGCCGCTGCTGCTGCCGCTGCTGCTGCCGCTGCTGCTGCAGTCCCATGCAACCGAATTGAGCATTAATATGTATGTACATATGTGTGTTTGTATGTATGTATGTATGCATGTATATAAACACATATGTACACATAAGTTGTGAAAAACCGACGAAATGACGGACCATCCCTTATTTGGCACGTACCCGGCGACTTGCTCTCTCTAGCTCTCTCTCTCTCTCTGTCCTGTGTTTGTACTCTTTCTCTACCCACCAGCTGCCATGTATGGGTGTGTATGCTTGTTGGTTTGTGTGCGTGTGTGTGTGTATTACTACCGTCGCAGACATCGGGCTTGCCACCCACCCTATTTCCAGCGGCAGGAACAACATCATCATCGTCATCAACATCATCATCATCGTCGTCGTCGTCGTCGTCGTTGTCCTGGTCGGCATTTGTCGTGTGTATACCGAAATACGTGAAATTCATTTATGGCTCGTATCCTTTTTGTTGTTACTGCCGCTGCCGTTGCCGCTGCCGCTGCTGCTGCTTTGTTCCTGTTTCGGGGCGACGGCCGCGACGTATTCGTCCTGGTCGTTGTCTTTGCTTCAGCTTCTGCCTTGCGCCCACTTTCCGTGTTCCGCCCAACGCCGCTACGCATTTCATGTCGTACGCGAACTTATCTGCCTTTAATTGTGGGAATCCTTAAAAATCCAAAATACTATTTTCACATATATCCATACCGGGTGTGCTGTCCTGGCTAATTGCATTTTCTCTATCCTCTGGGCAACGCATATTGTATTCCCACTGAATGCGGCTTTCCTGATCCAGAACTGGCCAAATGTGTATATCGAAGTGTGGTACACATCTAAATACAATTAAATGTTTTTTTTTTTTTTTGCGCAGTTTCGAAATGGCCGCAAACTCTGAAGAATGAAACGATGAAGAGGGGTGTGGGGGGAGTGTAAGAAAAAACGCAACAAACGCAATATTCTGCAAAATTTTCATCGTCGCTTTCACTTTAGTTTTTCACTTGTTTAACTATATCAAATGTATTTTTTATGCACAATTATTTGGTCCATGGCTTGTGTACGATTTTTGGCATATTAATTAACATTTATTTATTGTGAATTTACCATTAAATTGGCAAATAATTTATTAACCGGTTTTTCTCGTGACGTTTTCGCCTTTTTACAACCTCACACAGAGAACAGAACGGACGACCAACTGCTGTCTGTTAGCTGGCTCTGTTAGTCGCTAGCTGCCTTCCATTTCGTTCGTTTTCTTCGTTGTGCATGTTTGTGTGTTTGTGTGCGTGTGTGTGCCGTTTGGGCAGGACTTCGTGCCGGCTTCGGCCGGCTTCGGACGGTTCGGCTTACAGTTACTTCGTGTTTTAGTATAGTTTTCGGTTACATGCGGTGGATGCGCGCGCGAAAAAAGGGCAAAAAAGGCGCGCCCCCATCCGTCAACCACCGAAAATACATAAAATGTATTCCGTGTTTGTTTCTTCCAATACTCACACAACTATATGGTTACACATTCAAAGCAAGAGAGCGTTTGAGCGAGACAGCGACATAGAAAGTGAGCGGCCCTTGAACATATCCTGCCGCTGTAAACTGCCGCTGCTGTTGTTCTCACTGTTAACGAACATGTTTGCATTTGGAGCACCCTGTGCGCTATAACAGCCCGAGGTAACGGTCAAATGCAAAACGCCTTGGAATTTGAATGTGTCAGTTTCTTTATTTCATTTATCCGTTTACACAAAAAAAAAATGATCAACAGCATGAAATTCTACACAAATGTTGTAAATGTAAACAATGTTAATAAATATTGTACGAATTACACTGTGCATGGTTGATGTAAAATAACAAATGTGCGGGTTGTTGTTCAGAGTGTGTATAATAGGGTGGTTTGTCTTGCATATATGAGGTTAGGTTCCAGCCGCATCAGTATGTAAAACAATTAACAAGTTCCGGAACCATTCCAGGGTTACGTTACGCATCGAAGCAGCTGAACATTGAACCAGCGCGCATCAATCGAAAGGACTGGCAAGTTAAAACTAAAAACGAGATGCATATATATCTACTTTTGTTTTTTTTTTTGTTTTTTTTTGTTTTTTGTTTGTTTTTTGTTCATGGCATGATTGAACAGTGCCGAATGTCATTACTATATATGTAGGTGTGTATGAATGTATGTAATTTCATAGTATGCGAATGCGAATGTATGCGTGTGTGTGTGTGTGTATGTATGCATGATTGGTGTTGAGATACATTTAATAATCATAAAAATACATATTGCAAAAGTTGTTGGCAATTAATCAAATCAGGTGTTCTTCTAAATAAACCTGTAATCAGGACATTTTTTGTATGTATGCACGTGTACGCCTACAACACAAACATCGTATATGGTATAATATATTATTGTTTACAAAGAGCTTAAAATGTATTGCAACAGGGCCAATTTCCAAATGCTAATATTAAATATGTTTTTGCTTTTCATTCAATTCGTGAATTCTTGTTAGTATAAGTATGTATATAAGTATGTACGAAAATCGTACGAGACAATGTTATGAGTATCTTAAGAACTACGGGATCTTGATCTTGAGTTCTGGAGAGATGCTAGGCCTACCTACTAACCAAATGAAAGGGAGAGCCTTAGCTCCTGTTTTTGTATGCGTGTGTCTGTCTGTCTTGTGAGTGTGTGTCGGTGTGTGTGTGTGGGTGTGTGTGTGTGAGTCCGTTCATTAAAATTACATTAACGATATTAAAAGGTATAATAAATAACTATATGTAGCGTACATAGATGATTCGCTATATGTACTATAAATCCTCTCTAATTTAATCAAATGCATATTTTTATATATTTAAGCCCCGCCCAAATCCCCGTCGCATCAATCGGCATTCTTAATCTCGCTCAGGCTGCGCAAGGCTTCCCTCTCTCGCTCCCGTTCGCGCTCCCGCTCGCGCTGCTCCTCCTCTAGCTTGAGCACCTTGCTCTTCAGGCCACACAATATCTCCGCTGTGGCTATATTCTTGATGGTACTCAAGTCCAGGTGCTGGCTGTGATTGTTGTTGTTGTTGTTGTTGTCATCGTTGTCGTGCTCGCCATTGCTGCTGCTTTTGTTGTTGTTGTTGTTGCCGCTGCCGCCATGTTCAGTTGCATCTGCCCGTTCACGGTCGGTAACATGTTGCTGTTGCTGTTGCTCCAGTTCCAGGTTTCGATTGATCGCATTTAACAGTTTGTGCTTGCCCAGCGCCAGTGCCAATCCGGCTCCGGCTTCGGCATTGTTGTTGTTCGTCTCGGTGTTGCCCTTGTTGCTGTTGTTGTTCGAATCAGTTTCCATGTCCAAGCCGCGATTGTTGTTGTTGTCATCGTATTTACGCTCATAGGCGGAGAGATCTTCATCGTGTCCATTGTTGTTGTTGTTGTTTGTGGCTTCACCTGGCGACGCCTCAAGCTCCACTTCACGCTTCACCAGCTGAATATCGGGCGGAGGCGTTGGGGTTTGTGGGCGTGCCCGATTGCCATTGACATTGGGCGTTTGTACCAGATTCAAGGCTTCCTCATCATCAGGCCCTCCATTGTTGTTGTTGTTGTTGTTATTTCCGGAACTCTTGCTGCCGCTGTTGTTGCTATTGGTCAGATGATGATTCTCCACGAGCCGTATCTTGAAGTTATTGTTGTGCGTAGCTGGCGGTGGCTGCGGCTCCGGCGTCCGTGGCACAATCGTTGTGATGGGCTCCATGATATCCTGGCTGTGGGCATATGCGTGATTGTTGTTCAGGGCGTCGTCATTTCGCTCAGCACTTGGATATCGCTCCCGATCCATCTCCTTCAAGCGCTTTTCGCCGCCCAGCTCTGTGTTATAGTGCATCAGGATCTTGCGCTTGGCCAGGTACTTGTGCTGTTTACGTGCCGAGTCGAGCATCTTTTTGCTGTTGGCTTGCAGGATCGCAAAGGAATTGCTTTCCGCCTCTGCCAGATTCGAGTTGCTGACATTGTTGTTGTTATTATTGTTATTGTTGTTGTTGTTGTTGCTGCTGCCAAGAGTGTTGTAGTTGTTGTTGTTGGTGCTGTTGCTGTTGTTGTTATTGTTGCGATTGAGATTCTTTATAAAGCTCTCGGCCAACGTAGCCTTCGACTTAATGTGTTCACGGAAGCCAGTATAGCCCTGTGCCTGTGCCTGCGCCTGCGCCTGTGCCTGTGCCTGCGCCTGTGCTTGACCACCGCCCGGACTGGCCAGCGATAAAGGCGTGGCGCATCGGTTGGGCCCATTCAGAGGTGACTGCTCCAGAGCTGTTGGTCCATAGCCGGCGGCATGCCCACTAGTGATGTTGACGCTGTGTGTTCCACGCTCGTAGCGGCACTCGGTGCCATCGCTCTCTAGCGGCGAGCTGATGTCGCTGGCATCGCTGTCCAAGTTTTTCTGGAAGCAAAGAAATTAGGTGCTTAAGGGAATCCTAATTGACGGTGCTCCTGTCTTTGTATACCTCTGTGTGTAGCCCCTTGATTTTCATGGCCTCGGCGACCTTGAGAAACACGGGCAGATCCTCATACTTGACGTTCACCTGGCCGCTGTACATAAAGTCGAGCAAGCCGGCCATGTGGCTGGCCTCGACGTCGGCCATCAGCAGTATGGGATGACTGGATGGATTCTCTAGGAAGATCTGCTGGAAATACGGACTGCAAACGGACAGCACCTGGAAAGAGAGAAGCAAAAAAAAAAGGAGACAACTGTTAGAGGAACGGTTCCGTCAAGTAAGCCGCCTGTTTACCAGTTTGTGGGCCTTAAATATTTTTCCGCCTGCTGCGATGGTCACATCCACCATCTTCTCGTCCTTCTGCAGAGAGTGAAAGCCGCGGCACATGTTGCCATGGAAATTGTTCCACGACAGCAGGTACTGATCTATGGTATTGGGATCGGTGTAGGGCTGTTGCTGCTGTTGCTTGTGTTGCTGCTGCTGCTGTTGCTGCTGTTGCTGCTGCTGCTGCTGCTGCTGCTGCAGCTGCTGTTGGGCTGCCTGGTGCTGTGTGGCCGTGATGTGGATCTGTTGAGCAGTGGTAGGCGGCGAACAGGGGCGCGGCGTGGGTGGCTGATGTGGGTGTGCGATCTGATGATGATGCTGTTGTTGCTGTTGCTGTAGCTGCTGCTGAGCCTGTTGCTGCTGCTGTTGCAGATGCTGCTGTAAATGCTGCTGTTGCTGCTGCAGCAGATGCTGCTGCTGCTGCAGCGCATGCTGCAAGCCTGGCGGTGTCGAGGACGAGGACAGGCGATGCGGATGCGGCGAAAGTGACGGCTGGTGGCTCATGAAACGCTGCTGTTGCTGCTGTTGGGCCTGGTGATGTTGCTGCTGCTGCTGCTGTTGTTGCTGCTGCTGCTGTTGCTGCTGCTGGCGCGCATGCTGCTTGATCTTGACCATGTTCTCCTGCTGCTCCTGCTCCCGCTGCCGCATCAGCTCCTGCTTAATCTTGTACTGCTGCATGGATAAATCGTCAACGCTCTTGGAGAGCTTTACCATCTCGCTGTTGCTGTTGAACTTGTTGCCGCTGTTGTTGTTGGCCAGCATTGGCTTCAGATCGTATTTATAGTCGCCGCTAGCGCCGCTGGCCGCTGCTGCCAATTTGCGCTCGGCAGCGAGGGCGGCGCGCTCCTTCTGCCGCCTGATCAGCTCATCGATTTCCATATAGGCGCCGCTGGTGGCTGCCGCAATAGCCGATGCAATGATCGGATCATCCTCGAAGACGCTGTCGTCCAGTGTCTCCTTTAGTGTCTTGGTGGACGAGAACAGGCGCAACGAGGGATCGTTGACCTGGTCGCTGAAATACACGTCCATCAGTGTAAAGAACGGCCATTCCCGCCGCTTCGGCTCCTCGGACATTTTGATGGCCTTGTACTCCTGCAGCAGATTGTTCCATTTCTTGATGATCTTCGACAGCGGCAGCGGCACATTAAGCTCACGCTCGACGACGCTGCAAATGAAAGGGAATTTCGGAAATCGGTAAATGACATGGAAGCGACATAATCGCAGATTAGGCGTTGGTGTTTCGAATGGAGTATTCGCTACTTACGCCCAGGCATATTTCGAGGCGTTTCTCTTGCCCGTGAAGAGTGGTGAGAGTTCAGCGCGTAATCTGATCAATGATTTGACTTTTTCAGCTTCCCCTGCAAACGAAATAAACCATAATAAATGAGTTTCAAATTAAACAATTGCGTACATTATGCAATCAGTTGGGTAACCCCAGACGAGCGATTGTTATGTGTGGATACAAAATAAAATAAAATCAAAAAAATAAATAAAAAACTTGTGAGCGTAGGTTCCAAATGGATCTAAATAATATTATTGCCAAATGTTATGTGCGTTAACCCAGATATGAGAAATGGAGGAAATACAAAAGCGGGAGCTAAAGAAATAGCTAGCAAAAACTATTAAAAGTATTTTTCGCGCAGCAATTTTTGCAAGTTTCGCTTCCTTGGCAAATACAAATTCCTAAAGAAAAAAAGTAGTTAAGCGTTTGATTTAAGTGATCTACACGGGGCATTGATCTGACTGCGGCTGACTGCAACTTTCCACTGCAACTTGCCACTGCAATTCAAGTTTATGCCGCATTGCCGATAAAGACCTCTGGCAGTGGCCAGCAAGGTTTCAATGAACCCGTCACACTGCGCCACGATTCGCATCGCATCGGCCAAATCACATTGCAATCTCAAGATTGGGCCAAAATCGATGACTGCGCGGCCAGCTAAATTCGCATTCGAATCGACTGCTGGTTAATTGCTATAACGAATCTAGCAACTTTTACCAGTTAAGTCCATAAGCGAGACTAAAAAAATTCGAAAACGAAACCAAAGCCAAAAGCAAGATCAGAGCCCGGGCCAAGTCGAGCTCAAAGCCAGCCTGGCGCAAAGAGTCGCATCTTAAGACCGTGCACACAGACACACACACACACATACACACACATGCGTTCGCTTGTATTTACGGCATGTGTGTATGCCCATCAAGTATACGCCATGAGCAACAGCAACAGCAACACTCGACTGGCGACCATAATGACTGAAAACTATTCAACGTTGAAGAATTCATTAGCAGATTTCACTTTCGCTTATGACGGCGTTCGGTTATTTCTTTTGCAGTCTTTCTTTATTTATATACCGTAATTTCTACTCGTTCACTTTTTTCTTTCTCTATTTCTTTGCAGCTCTTTGTTCGCCACGTCGTGTGTGTGTGTGTGGATGTTTGATGGCGTTTTTTTTTCCTTCTTTCAAGTTTCTTGAGTCTTGCTGCTGCTGATGATTTCTTGTTTCAGCCAAGGCAAGAAGCCAGCCGCAAGCTGCGCGCCTGCTACCTCGCTCAGTTTTTTGGTCGATTATTTATTTGTTTTTTTTTTTTACCCAAGAGAAAATGGCTTGGCTACTCAGACGAAGCCGGATCTAAAGTCGCGTCGGTGAGCACCGACCAAAATGCATGACAGGAGATAGCGAAGGCTTTGCGGACTGGGCCGCCTGCATTCTAGCTGGGCCCACAGCCCGTTTACTTTCTAAACTTGATTTGGGTTATAATATGTATACTCGACAAATGGGAAATAGATTCACATTGAAACGAGAAAATAAGCTCTCATACCATAAACTAAGTACACTTTAGGTGCTCATGATGCATCTGGCCAGGGCAAGGGCATTTGCGCGATATCGATCTGCGGATACTTTGCCAGCCTTTGCTTGATTCATTTAATTGTCTACCCGCAAAAGCTATAACCTAGCCCAACCCTGCTCGATAAACAAAAACTATGCGCAACAAATTTGCAAAAATATAAATATATATAGTTATATATGTAATATACGTTTATATCAGATTTGCGAACCATAGTAAGAAAGACAACGAGCGGGTAAGCCTTGTGTAAAACAACCTCAACCTTCTGTTCGTGACATGTTGAGGTTTCACGTTCCCCATTCGCCGTGAGCGAAGAGCCACAGACAAGAGAGCAGCATAATTGAGTGTGTGCGCGGATGGATCTTGGGGGGCGGGTGTGAGTGGGGTGGCGGCTGGGCGATGTGTGGGGCGCTTGAGCAGAAGTAGCGCAAATTGTTGCCCGGGGGAGCGGCTCACAAAAGATTCACTTTCTTTGCAACAAGTTTTCGTGCGTCTGCGCGCCCGTTCAGCGGTGCGTGTGCGTGTGAGTGTGTGTGCATGTGTGTGTGTGCTTGTATGTATGTATAACGCGTCATACAACTTCTCTCTTACACACAGACACACACACACACAAGCGCGAGGAAGAGACGTCTTCTGGTTTCTACTTTCCGTTCGCGCCCTTTTATGTAACCCAAATCATCTGTAGCTTGAGAGATGCTGAAGCTGCTCTGCAGGCAAGCCGAAATGTCTGTCTCAGTAACAGCAACAACAGCAACAACAACCACAATAAAAGCAACAACAATAGCAGCAGCAACGTTTACCGTTAGTTTCTCTTTTGACCTATATTTGACCAACGGCGTTGTTGTTGTTGTTTTCTCAGTGCACGCCATTGGTTCTTTATCTTATATACTCTCCTTCATCTTCACTTCTCTATGTTTGCTCTGCTCGACTCTTCTTTGTGCTCAATGTTCACTTCCGTTTAAAGCACTTTCGTAGCCGCAGAACCGGTTCTAGGCCTTTGGAGCTGCACACTTATCACCCATGAATCAACATTTGCATTTCTTTTGGAGATTCTCTTCGTTTTCTTTCTTTCTTTCTTTTTTTTATAGTTTTTTGTTCTGTTCTTCGTTTTGCTTGGCATCTTCCATTTCGTCTGCTTTTTACGCATAATTGGTCTCAGAATTGAAAACCTGACTAACGATTTGTTGTGCTTCCTTTCGTTACGGCCCCTTTCTTTCATGCTGCCATCCTGATTGCCCCCCTCCCCCCCTTTTGTGACGTTCTTTCTGTCTGCTTTGCTTTGGTTGATTCTTTGATTGTTTGTTTACTTGATGAAATGCGAAATTGTTAACCGTGACGTTTCGCTTTTTCACAGTTTTTTCCCCTCTCTCTTTCTTTTTTTTTACAATCTGTTCTTTGCGTGAGAACTTCTAATGAGGTCATTGGGATTTCGGTGTGCTTTGGCTCTGCATATAAAGCCAGTTGAACCAAATGAAGCATTCAACATGCCCTACTCTCGATAATCGTATGCGAAAGTGATGGGGGCGTGGCTAGGGCGAGGTACATATCGAGAGAGACAGAGAGAGAGAGAGAGAGAGAGATAGATTTACGATATGATGTCAGTGCACAAATTTCTTTAGCAAAGGAACGTGAAGATTATTATTTATAAAAACTATAAAAATTAGATTTTCTCATACACCTAATTTGTTTTTCTATATGAAAAGAAGAATTTCTTGAAAAATGTATTAAAAGTGCAATCACTTTTTTGTATTTCTTAAAAGACGTTTCTTAGCTTGGGCGAGTTGAAGAGAAATGTTAACCAAATTCTCTTGAACTTCGACGCCCCTTTCTAAATGTTTCACAAACAGCTGGAAGGTATGCCCCATAGCCAGGCCATAAAGTTGAACAATCTCCTCTTAAGTGAAGCTGTCCGTGAATACAATGTGAAACTTTTGCTCGATTGCAATGCCAAGGCGAATGGAAGAATTCGACTGCGTTGGTGCTGCGTTTTGTGCAGTCGCTGCAACAACAACAACAACAGCAACAACAACCAGACTCGAATGAAATACGAGACGATGCGGCTTTCCAACGACAACGGCTTGCAGCTATCTCAGTTGCAGTCAGTTTTCTACTTGTGCTGCATTTCTTGAGAGTTTTCTCCGCACGCCACGGCCACAAAACTTTTAGACAATGCGCATACGCCCCGTGTGCCGGCATTGCCAGCGCTTTCCGTGTAAGTCATCGACCAGGCAACCAGGCATCCAGCAATCCGCCACTGCCACTGCTGCCAGGCTGGTATTTAATTCTCGGCTTTTACTTTCTCCCAAATGACGAAGAAATGCATTTTTTCCATAATCTAAAGCGTCAGCGAATGTAATTCGCATCGGGGCAACTAATTTATTTGTTATACATTTTCCGACGAAAATTTAGAAGAAAGGTAATGCCAACATAGATAAAAGTCAAAAGTTGCTAATTAACTGACATTTCAGACCAAAAGCGAGCAACTGGCTGTGCCGTCGTCTGTCGACTTTTCTCTTTGCAATTTTCATTTTGAAGTTGAACGTACGCTAACCGTCTGTGGAAATTCCGCACTACTTATAAACATGACCAGACAACAGACAACAGGCAACTTGCAACTTGCAACGTGCAACATCATCATCATCAGCCACAACAGCAGCATCATTATCATCATCCATCCATCATGATTATATATTATTGTAATCATTGACGTTGTCAGAAGTAATTTAGGAAGGAAAAATTTTATATATATATATATCCATATAATAATATATATATATATATACATATTTATTCGCTCGCTTTGCTGAATTTCTCTGTTGCTTTGGAAAACCTATTGCTTTTCATGTTTCTGTTAGTAGAAGTCGAAACCCGTTGTTGTTGTTGTTGTCGTTGTTGTTGCTGCTGCTGCTGCTGAAAATCGTCTGTTGCATTTGTTATTGCCGCCATCTCGTTAGCCGTTTTGTTGCAAGAAGGTTTATGAACTTTAACAAAGATTTTCTTTCTTTCTGTCCGCTGTTTAAAATGCACTTGAGTCGCTGCAGAGCTTTTTTCGAAAGTGCAACGCGGCGTATAAGCAACTTCTGCAACGGACAAATGTATCCAAGCACGTGTGTGTGTGTTGTGTGTGTTTGTCATTTAATGTTTGCATTTTCTAATTGTTGTCATGATTGTCTTATGATGTTTATTTGAAAGCGTAAATGAAAAACACTTTTCATTTCTACTCAATTAATATTCTTATCAATTGCTTGCGGTGAACACATATATGCATAAGCCGATAAATGTATCTTAACAGTTTTCATGAGCTTCCACGATGCGTCAGCTCAGCTCAGTTGAGCTTAGCTCGGCTCAGTACTCACACACACACATGCACACACACATACACATACAGCTTACAACTTTCACTTTGCGCCGTCAGAAGCAGCAGCAGAAACAGCGACAGCAACAACAAAAACAACAACAACAACGTAGCAAAAGTAAAGCTCTAATGTTAATGTAAATAGCGGTAAGAGTCAGGGTACACACATACACACACACATGCGCAAGCACACACACACACACACACACGCACTTAGTTACGTGCCGTAGATGCGATTGTGCAGATACAAATAGACAAAGGTTCAAATGACTTTGGCGCGTCTCGCGAAATTGCAAAATAGAAACAAACAAAAACAAAAAAAAAATTAAAAACCAAATCATTCATTAAAAAAATATTGTAGATATATTGCGGCTGTTATGTCGAGAAAGAAAAAAAATAAACGCAATGCAAAACAATAAAACAAAATCAAATCAAACTGTGGCATCTTACATAAAAAAACTTAACCTTCGCCGCATGAAAGCAAAACTTTATATGTATTATTTTTCTTAAAAAATTAAACTGTTTTTTTTTTTTCATTTTCTGCAAAAGCATAAAAAATAAAACTACGCTAAAACTTGAGCATAAATATTGTAGCTTACTTGACATATTTAGCCTATTTTCTATCAAATGGGGTGCATTCTGCTCCGTCTGAGCTATTATACAATTCCCATTCTAACGATGAAAAGGTGTAAAAAGTAAACGAAAATGGAGATAAAAGCCAATTTTGTGAGGTGGTAAAGCGAGAAGCGTGTGAAGAGCCGCATTCGAGCTCCCAATTGAGGCGAACCTAAAGTGAAAGTTCTAATAAGTAAGCGAGTAGCGAGCAACTGCTGGAGCCACGACAAAGCCAGAGTACTCGTAGCCAACCATGCGGGCAGCCGCCAAATTGTGGCTCAAATGGTGGCACAGCAAGCGGTCGGAGCGCACCACAGTTGTGGTAGTCCGCCAGCCATCGCCAGGCGAAATGTATGGGAAAGAAAGGCTGGCGAAATGTGTATAGCAAAAATGATATATGGCTGGCTAGATGTTTCGATGAATGGAATTAAATATATATATTGTGTGCGAAGTCAATTGTATTTGCGAGGCACAAAGGGCTCATTTGTACTTTTTACTGTGCAGTTAAGCATACTAATGAACGTAAGTATTTTCTGTAAGTCTCTTAAAATAATTTAGGCGAAACATATTGCTTTTTGATTAAAGTAATTACAATCTGACAAGAAAGATACTCCGTATCGAATTTTTGGCTATTTGATATATGTATTTTTCTTTTGTTTCAATTTGGTGATCGGTCGCTTTTCTCTAACAAGCCCTTTCGGGCATTATATAAAAGAGTTTTGCATCATTGTCGCGTCTTCAGCTCTTCACTTAACGCGTCTTAATCACGTTTGATGGCCAATTAAATGTTGTTAAGAAAGCAGCAAATAAAGCTATTGTAGAATTAACCAACATTGCATAATGTATGCTACGTGTGGCAATTAGCCAGCTTTATATAAATCTTGTTAACGAGGAAGCGAAAGAGTTCCAATTGAAAATGTGTACAACTCACGCAAGTCTTGTGGCCAGCGGATTAGTGAAGTTAGAAAGCAAGACCAAAAACTAAACAAGATGTTAACCTCTTTTCATTACTTTGGCCAATGTCTGAAGCTAAGGCAATTGCACCAAAGTATGCAATTCTATTGATATATCTTCTGTAAAATTTCTCTTTTTGCAAAAGCTCGGGCAGGTTGCGTGAGAGGTGGGGGTTGCCTAATGACATGACTTTCATTAGATGCCACAACGAAGCGGTAAATGCGCGTTACCTGGCCAACATTTGGAGGCAAACGACAAGAAACGAGCGAAGCTCAAGCGCAGGTTGCATAATCGCATTCAAAACGAAAATAGAAAACAGTCAAAACGACAAGCGACAAACGGACAGAAACAGAAACAGATACAGATACAGATACAGAGACAACACAAAACATATATAATATATTGATGTATATAGATAGATAATTTGTAGCGGTTTATCAAGCAACGGTATTATTGAGCAACGTCGACTCGAATCGACTCCAACACTCGCCAACAGCGCCAACATTTAAACTATTTTCTTGTTATGCACTTCAAAAGCAAAACGCGTGATACAAAACACACTCACAGCCATACACACTCACAGCCATAATTTTGGCAACACAATTTTGACTTGGCCAACAGAAAACCCGATGAGTCATTCTAAATAATTGCGCGTGCAAAAGTGCCAGCAATAATAATATTTATAAAACTAAATATCAATGCATAGAAATCAAAACGAATAACAACATCAAAAACAAACTCAAAATCATAATCAAAATCAAAGTCCGAGTCGATATTTCGAGCCGAAACCAGAAATTGAAACGAATTTATTGCGCATACGCCGCGTATTCCAGAGAGATCCATACGTGTCGCCCAGGAGCTGTTGCAATCGACGTCTGTAGACCCAAACAGCAACAAGTTGGGACATTGAACTCGAAAACCGAACCTGCACACACGACGTCAGCAGCAGCAGCAGCAGCAGCCGCAGTCGCAGCAAAAATTTGTAAACAAAACTCGGTTATGTAAGCGCTTAATTATAATGGAAATGGAAATGCCAAAGCGACAAAGCCAGGCCACATTCAAGAGGCCGAGTCTCTAGAGCTCCAAATTGGTTTGTTTTTGTAAAAAAAAGAAAAAAAAACGACAACAACAATTTTTGAAGGCTACGCATTACGAGAATTGATATCGAACAACAGGAAATTTCGCCTTGGAAATGTCATTTTCCACAATGCTTATGTTCGGGCTGGTGAAAATGGGTCAGGATTAAAATACACACACAAATCAGCCAATCACCTGACCAATAAAAACAAGTTAAATGCGAGCGATACGAGAAATTGATTGAAAACAAAAGGAAATCAACAAGAAAACTAAGAAAAAAAAAAAACAGAAACAAAAAGGAAACATAAATTTTTCAGCCAGTAAGGGTCTTGGCTGGCTGAGACGGCAATAGCAGCAAGAGCAGCAGCCGCAGCGGCAGCGGCAGAAAGAAAAGGAAAGAAAACAGATAGAGAAAAAAGATGCAAGCAACAACTTTCACCTATTAATATTCGAGTCGAGGCAGAAGCGAGCGAGCTGCCAAAGCTTGCAGAGACCCGTGCACTGCGCAACCAAGTAGAAGCAGAAGAAACCATCGCCGCTTGGCGCAGTTGTGGCCGATGCTCAACAGGGGCAACAACGTCGACGGCTCTTGGGTGATTGCAGCTGAGACGATGCTAAAGATACACACACAGACACACAGACACACACACACGCACACCCAGAGTCAGACAAAGAGCGCAATCTCTTCTGAAACTTTCTATAAAAGACGTTCGTTTATTTTTTCTTCTTTTCATTTTTACTATTTTTCAAAAATTTTCTGGTTTGTTAGTTTCTCAAAAGCTGCCAAGTAGGCGTGCTTATGTCTGAGCCTACTCTCTTGGGTTAGTTAAGTTGAGTATCCTTTGATTTATACTTACAGCAATATCTGGTCGAATATTGACAGTTGGCATTGACTGTCGGTGCCATAATCTCGTTGGCAGCCATATCCAAATGTAATGTGTTGTTGCTGATGTCCTGGATGGTATATCCTTAGCTATTTTGGACGTGTTTGATGCTTTGTTGTTGTTGGTTATTGTAATCCAATGGGGTTTAAGTCACAGATACACACACACACACACCGAATGGCGTGAAATGCTTTTGGTTTGATAGTTTCTCTTTGATTACTGCTGCTTATTTGGTAGTTTGCCTGGTTTCCATTGTAAGATATTTGGAATTCAAGAGGCACTCACGCACACTGAGCGCCCAAAATTTAAAAATTAAACCAAAGCCCAAGCCGCAAGCACACAAACACACCGATAAAAAACACTTTCACTTTTCGCTTGATATGCAGAGAACACAAAACAGTTTTATGCGACTTTTTTGCCTTTTGTTGTTGCTGTTGCTGTTGCTGGTGTCGTTGTTGTTGTTGTTGTTGTGGTTATTTCTTGTGGATTTAATGATTTTGGCTGGGCCAAGTGAAAATTAAATTCCAAGTGCACTAAAGTCAAGAGTAGTCAACATTTTGTATAGCATATGTTTCGCTGTCTGCTTTGCATAAAGACATTAATTATAGAATTTTGTAAAGTTTCAATTTATTCACTTCAACACTTAAAGTAAAGCCGCAATTGTAGCTGGAACTGAAGCAGGAGTTAATCTTGTTGAGTTTTCCAACTGTAAGAGTTGTAGAGTTCTGCACACAGGCGCCTGTTGTTGTCTTAGATTTAGTTTTAGTTTTTAGCTATTGGTGGCGATTCTTGCGCGCCGACCGTCTGAACGTAACGTCTGCCTCGAACCACTGTAGACGTCTGTGCGGCAGCGCGCAGTGAAACTAGCGCTTATCCTCAAAGATCGCTAAGAAATTTCATGCCATTCCATTTTGTTTCGCTGCTTCGACGCTTTCGCTTAACCAACTCACACACACACACACACATACGCACGCACACACGCTCAAGCTGAAGCTTGGCTTTAGTTCTGTGTGCTGTTAGCATTTCCATTTCTTTCTCTGCACACTCACTCACACACACACACACACACATACAGGCGTGCGAGCAACTTGCTGCTGAGCACGCTCAGTTCAAGTTTGGTTCTTTGTTGAAGTCTTTTGTTTTGGTCTGCAGTTTGCCTTTGCCATGTGCGCGAGCTTTTGGCTTTCAGTAAGAGTTTCGCCTTGGGAGCGCGCACACACACACACGCATACACAGAGATACCATCCGGCAGTGCTTAATTATTTACAGTTTATGGCCGTTCCGTTTCCATTTCGTTCCGTTTGCGTTTGCTTCAAATGGACTTTTATAACTTTAACTTTCTTCGCAATCGCAGCGAATGCCGTTTGCTGGCAACTGCCTTCTAAGCGTGCTTCGGCTTTTTTCTTTAATTTTCTTTTCTTTTTTTTCTTTTCAAATTATCTTTTATACGCTTTTGCGTATTTGCCGTTGTTTAGCTACAAATTACAACTTTCGTCTATTTTCGTCAAGATTTTTTTTTTAATTATATAATTCAAACTTTTTTCGTTTGTGCATTTATTTTCTTGCTCGTTTTCTATGGGCTTTGTTTTTGCTGTAACTTCTGCACAAGCAATTTGCTTGCCATTGTTGCTTCAGTTTTACTTTTATTTGCATAAAGCCAAGCTCACGGCTAATTACACACAAGAAGAGTGAAATTTCCAATGGGTTCTTAATTATAATTTAATTGCCTGCTCGCTAGCCAAACAGCAGCTAGCCAGAGCCCAAAAACACCCAAGCAGCACAGAAAGCGCACCAAATGTATCTATGTGCTTAAATGTATCTGCGGGTGTGTGTGAGTGTGTGTACTTTTGTACTGCAGTTGGTAAAATCTCTTTAGTTGCAGTTTGTTGGTCTGGTCTGCTCAGCGAGCGTTTCAAGATCGGGGCTCGACCATTTGCAGTCGCAGTCGCAGTCGCAGTCTCAGACTTCGAGTCAGTTAAAAGTATCTCGATGCTTAGGCCTTTTTTTTTGTTGGCTCTGCACTTACAGTTGCTTCTTTTGTCGTTTGCGCGGCTGGTGTTACTATCTTTTGGTTGTTGTTGAAGAAAACTTTCTAATGCAGAAACCGTCTGCTGTTTCATTGCTCACTTTTCTTTCTCGCTCTCTCGCTTTGCATCTCTCTAATGCTCTCTCGCTTCAATTGAATTTCCCACTGCTCGCACAGCAGTTGATAGGCCTCTAGTTATACCCTGTACTCATCTTAATTGGGTAAAATAAATTTAGCGCAGTTATATGTTACCACTTTTAGTTCTCTTACAGTTGCTTTCGTACCTAAGAGTTTCTTTTTATCCCATAGAGGCATTTATATCTTTTCATTAATTTTGTTATCAGTAAGATGCCTTTAACTATCTTATAGGGATCTTTATATTTACAGATACTGCGAGCGTTACTTAACAGATTCTTTTATATTACGCAGATACTATTGTTTTATTACAAATACCTTTGTATCTAACGGATACGGCTTTCGTATATATATCTTGGGTTTCTTTTGTATGTGAGAGATACTTTTTGTAAAATCCTGACAATTAAGGGTATTACCTAGTCAGGTTCTCCCGATTAAGGCACTCTTACTTATTTTTGTGGATTTTCGACTGCTTTTTCTTTCTTTTGAGATTTTCCCAAGCATGTGAAATCGCCGTAGAATTTGAATTGAGTAAAACTTTTGTTCAAAACTTTACACATTTTCAATTCTATGCACATGGCATAAGCGTGTGTAGATGTATGGATGTATGTATGTGCTGTTATATATGTAATCTATTCACGTGCAGGTGAGTTCACATAAGTACTTGATAATCTGCTGTCGGTGATGGCGGCCATGCATCAACACATTATGATGGTGGTCAGTGGCATCCGTTGGACCGATTGATGGTAATAATGATGCCGTTATACCGCGCTCACTGCTATTTGGGTGAAAGTTATATGTTAAATACACTCACATATCATTCAGTGCAAGTCTCCTTTTTTTAATGTGTGCACAGTCCAAGCAATTTATATCAAGAACTGTGACCCCATATCATCAATAAAAAATCGATTCCTGCTTAACTTAATAGCATATAAGTAGTATACCATATTTGTGATAATTGGAAAAAAGTAATTATTACTCCCCTACGAAATGGAAAAATGATCTCAATTGACAAATGTATTCAATTAGCAGCGAAACCTTGCATTATATAAACCAGAGGCAGAACGATGGAAAATCACAAGACTTTGAAACGCGAGACCCACAATCGTAAGTATAAAATGTATTTTCACTTTTTAATAATTAACATAAAATTATTAACCAACGGCGCAAAGAAAGAAGAAAGAGAAATGGGTAAGAATCAAGAAAGACACCAAAATCAAAGCCACAGCCAAAACAATGCCAAGCGCATTAAACCAGCACCAAATGGCAGGGCCAGACAAATGTAAGAAATAAGCCATGAAAGTTGTAAATTCAATGAAATGGGATTTGTGATTTCATAAAGTCTCGTAAGCAGCAGCGAATGACTAAAAATCTTAAAATAAGAAAACATTAAGCCCAAAGAATTTTAAGTGAAATGAATTTGAAAGCTTTTCCCGTCGAGATCTGACCCAATTACCCATTTTGGCCCATAACCCAAATTAATGTGGTAGCTAAGAAATAAAGAAAAGAACAGAAGATGTCGGCTGACGAAGTCACAGTTATGTGACGAACCGACCGAGTCAGACAATCGAAAGTTTATGTCATGCAACAGCAGGAGCAGCAGCTGGAAACGACGCACAGTGGGCCAAAATTAGCCAACAGCTTGCTATTTTTTAATAAAGTCAACAACAAAATCTGACCAAGGTCCTGGAAAGATATATATGTATTTACTTAGCCGGGAGTGAATGGGCTTTTAGTTGATATAATAATTGTATACCTAAGTGAACTATATACTAAGATCTGTCATTGTTATTGGAAAGTAGAATCCTGTGCTAAACCACAGTGCAGCAGCTTTGAGATAAGATGATATGCATTGAAGAGCAGGTTTTATAATTCCCCAATAAGCCCCGTCAAGTCTTGCAATTGTGAACGCCCAGTTAACAAGACTTAAGTAACTAAGAATATATATGTATATTCGAAAGTAATTGAAGAAGAAAAGTACATTTATATGTATAGTATAAGTATAAATATAAATATAAATATATATCTGTGCGAACAGTACAGAGAGCACAAGCGAGTGAAATTCTGTAGCAGATAAATATAGATGTATATATATTGTGTGCTTATGTATTTAAGGTACACATACATAAAAACACAATTTTTTGGAAAGTCATACCATGAAATTATTCTGGTGTAGATGTGCTTGCTCCGACATAGGCCTACCAAACAGCATGAACAATTGAGAGCAGACAAAACGCAACAAAAGAAAAAGTAACTTCACACTAACACACACACACGCACATACACACGCACACACAGATGGACAGCCTGATCAACGTCTGCGGCAGAGCTGGCCAGTAAATCGAAAAGATACACGAAACGAACACTTCACAAAATAAAATAATAAAATCGAAACATAAAACATTCTGATTGTAAGAGCTTGGAAGTAGGTCAGCGTCGCTGCCGTCGCCGTCGCCGTCGCCTTCACCTTCGTTTTCGGCGTCATCGCCAACGCGCGCGCTCTCGAACTTGGCTTTGGTCTGGTCTCGGCTGCCGCAAGAGCAAGAGCGGCAGTTCAGACACCAAAACCGAGCAGCAAAAAATAAGAAGAATCAAAAATACGCACACACACATTTACAAACACACACACACACACATGGAGCCACGCTGATGGAATACTAAAGCATCCGCGTCCACTTGCACTTTCTTTTTCAAGCGCTGCCGCATCGACGCTGGCGTCGCAGTTGCTGTCACAAACTTGATTTGCCTTATGCTTTAGCTCATTCTACTTCTGCTTGGCTCCCAGTTTCAGTCCCACAGCGCAAGTTCGTGGCTTAAGTCTTTCGTTTGGATCCGTCGCACGTTCGACTCGCTTAGCTTTCGCTTTGTGCTGCTCCATTGTTTTGCTTTGTCCAAATATTCTCTTATGCTTAATTTGTTTTAGGCCTCAATTTCACCATCTTGTATAACCATTTCAAATTGTGTAAGGAATCATTATAATTTATTTGACTGGTTACATATTTAACTAGAAGTAAATGCATGTCAATTAATAAATTTAGTAATTTTTTCATATATTTAAAGCCTGCACAACTCGCATGCGCATGGATAAGACATTTCCCATTTGTCAGCTGCGCAATGCTTTTAGTTTCCAGTATGTATTCCAGTGTTTATTGGATTACCGCTGAACAGATTCCTAAACAAACCAAAATAAAGTTTTTCAATTTTTGCGGATATTGAAAATTTCAGCTGCAACTTAATGTCTGATCTAATAGCATAAAAAGAGGGCATACTTTAAAGTAAACATAAGAAACTGCTGCATACTTTTAGGCATGCCGAACAATTTATGTGAGGAACTAATATCCATTGCAAAATAAAATTGATTGTGAGCAGGATTATACGGAAAATGGAAATGAATTAGGTTTTAAATTTAAACTGAGGGTTCGAGTATCAAAATCTGTTCGCCTTAGGAGAACATTTAAGATAGTTCTCAACATTCATGGTCTGTGATCAGGGGTTCAAACCAAACCTGCGTCACCTACTTGTCTTACATGTTCCATTAGGTTCAATCCGAAAATGTTAATCTATCGGCTGTACCTTTTTTTTATCAATGTCGTTTAATGTACAATAATTAACGGAAAAAAGTTGTCTTAAAATTGGGATTGTGAATAACCTTTATACAAATTTTATTAAGGAAATAAACCATCCCAAAAAAGAACTCTTCCGAATTGAAATCACTTATATTTTGATATAGTATTTGTAGTAGACAATGCAGAAAGAGCATTTACAGATCAGAGCCAATCAAAATGGCTTGGACACATAAAATCAACTAACTGATGGATTGAGGGAATTACATTTAATCACTTCCGAGCAATTAACATTTATTTTAAGATAAGTTGTATCTATATATACACATATATTGTGTAATCTATAAATATCTAGCCAAGCAACAAAAGAAAACAAACAAGAAAATCTACATAAAAGGACAAATTCAAATGGCATGAGTAAAGTTAAAAAAAGCATAAAAAAATTAGAAATCCAAATACTTAGACAATCAAAAAAATACTTAGACAATCACAAAAAATGTGCTTAAATGCATCTCTCTCAACGCTGTGCCTGATTTTGGTGAATCTCAATTAATTGGCATGCGAAATGCGCGGCACGGCGATTTCGCAACTTCGCGAGTGCAGCGGCGGGTGCGGGCAGCATAGATGCTTCCTCGAGAAGCTCGCGGATATCAACCTTGATGTTGATTTATAGGTGTCGCTGTGCTGTGGCGGCGTCTATTTTGGTGCCTGCCGTTGCGTTGCCGCCTGCCGCTGGCTGCATCGATGTCTGCGCTGCTGCTGCGTGCCTGCGTCCCTGGCTATCTCCCTCACTCTCTCTCTTTCTGTCTCTCTCTCTCTTTCTCTCTCTTCGCTCAGGGTCCACGGCCCGCCAATTGTCTTGCAGCATCTGTCAGTCCTTCTAAGGTTCGTTTCTATTTTCTGAATTGGCAACGAAGTGAAGTATCTTCGGCACTGCAAATGCGGATTAGCTGCTCGGCACCTGCAACGGGAGTGGGAACGGATACGCGTCCAATCGGCTAATCTACTGTGGCGCTCTCCCGGCCACGCATATTTGCTTATCAGTCATTTAGATAGCTCGCATGCTAATTGCCCTGCTTTGTGCTTCCCAACTCTCTCTCTCTCTCTCTAAGTCTCTCTGGATATACCCTATATGTATCTAATCATTGGCCTATCTATATATATTTCAGTTAGGAACTTTTTTTATAAAAGTTGTCATACACCTGCATTATTTATGGCTACGCTTTTTTTAAACTTATTCCCCGCACGAATACAATTGCAGCGCCTTAAAATGTCGCATATACCCTAACAATTTGTAAATTCCTTACGACAATTAGGAAAACGGCTTATATGGATCGATTCGCGTTAAATGCGTGCCACTACTTTCGCTCTACTCAATTTCTCTGGCTCTCTGCGAATTTCGGCATTTCTGCCAACTAATTGAGTTTTCAACTCAATTGAAAATTCCCCGATGCGAGAGCCTTCGATATAAAGACAGCACTTGGCCATCCGCGTGCCATTTGTTGTTGAGTCTAGGAGCCAACAAGAATCAAACGTGCGATTTTATTTTCATCAACTCCTTTCGTTGGCCTAAAAGGTGTGTGCATGTGTGTGCCCGTGTGTATTTGATTTGCAAACGTACAAAGGATTATACATGGATTATTTCTGGCTCACCGAAACTATTTTAATGGAATACGTGATATATAATTGGTTTTCATTTTAGACCATTTCTTTTATTAAAATCAAAATTGGTATTAAAAGTAAAATCATTTTTTTATCAGAATTATCAGTCCAAGCAGCTTAAATATTATTCATTTTATCACTTAAAGGAAATGGTTTAAAACAAATATAGTAAAAGAAACTCTCCAGATAAATAATTATCTATAAAAGTGCTAGTTAAATTTGCAGTTTATGTATATATTTATCATATCCTTTCTACAACGAGCTCATCTATAATTCTAGATAAACAACTGTCAAAATGTGTGACGATGATGCGGGTGCATTAGTTATCGACAACGGTTCGGGCATGTGCAAAGCCGGCTTCGCTGGTGATGACGCCCCCCGTGCTGTATTCCCCTCGATTGTGGGTCGTCCACGCCACCAGGGTGTGATGGTGGGTATGGGTCAGAAGGATTCGTACGTCGGTGATGAGGCTCAGAGCAAACGTGGTATCCTGACGTTGAAATATCCCATTGAGCACGGCATTATCACTAACTGGGATGACATGGAGAAGATCTGGCATCATACCTTCTACAATGAGTTGCGTGTGGCCCCCGAGGAGCATCCAGTATTATTGACAGAGGCCCCACTTAACCCCAAGGCCAATCGCGAGAAGATGACTCAGATTATGTTCGAGACCTTCAATTCGCCAGCCATGTACGTTGCCATCCAGGCTGTGCTGTCCCTGTACGCTTCCGGTCGTACCACTGGTATTGTGTTGGACTCCGGTGATGGTGTCTCCCACACTGTGCCCATCTATGAGGGTTTCGCTCTGCCCCATGCCATCCTGCGTCTGGACTTGGCCGGTCGCGACTTGACCGATTACCTGATGAAGATCCTGACTGAGCGTGGCTACTCTTTCACCACCACCGCTGAGCGTGAAATCGTGCGTGACATCAAGGAGAAGTTGTGCTATGTGGCTCTGGACTTTGAGCAGGAAATGGCCACCGCTGCCGCCTCCACATCCCTGGAGAAGTCGTATGAGTTGCCTGATGGTCAGGTCATAACCATTGGCAACGAGCGTTTCCGCTGCCCCGAGGCTCTGTTCCAGCCTTCGTTCTTGGGCATGGAGTCGTCCGGTATTCACGAGACTGTCTACAACTCAATCATGAAGTGCGATGTGGATATTCGTAAGGATCTGTATGCCAACTCTGTGCTATCCGGCGGTACCACCATGTACCCAGGTAAACATAACGAGTCCCTTAAACTTGGATAGCACACTCAAGTTTTTGTCGTTTCAATTTTAGGTATTGCTGATCGTATGCAAAAGGAGATCACCGCCCTGGCCCCATCGACCATTAAGATCAAGATCATTGCGCCACCTGAGAGAAAGTACTCCGTCTGGATTGGTGGCTCCATCTTGGCATCGCTGTCCACCTTCCAGCAGATGTGGATCTCTAAGCAGGAGTACGATGAGTCCGGTCCCGGCATTGTGCACCGCAAGTGCTTTTAAATCTTTCCCGCGTTGCGAAAGATCAACAAAGACAAACACCACGTTAGCAAAGTCACTAACCAGCACCAACATCAGCGAGCTTTTCACCAACGCCGGCGCGCTGCACATTAAGCCAAACCAGCAAAGAAGAAGAGGATAACAACAACAATCTGTTGCACGAAAATCATTTAGGCCACAATATCAATAAGAGGCTGAACGATATTCAAGCCACGCCCCTTAAAATGTTACCAAACCCAGACACAGGCGAATTTCACAGTCACGAACATCTGCGTGAAACTCGCCGTAGTGTGAAATATTTAAATTATTTATAAACTTATCTAAACTGTATATGAATGAGCTTTTAATCTTAGCCAGTGAAATTAAAGCCAAATATATATCTTCCATTAAAAAATATAAACATTTTCAATAAAGACATTTTTTCTATTACGTATTCGCTTCACTGTTAATAAGATGAATATGCTTTTCGGCTTTACATCAGTTTTTATTTATTTATAGGTTAAATTATTTTGTAGAAATGCTTAATATAATTAATTAATTAATATATATGTATATATATAATACCAAAATATGTTAACATTTAATAAGGGCAGCGAGGACTGAACGATAATATTATTTAAATGGCTGTACGTATAATATTTAAAGACTTCTCACTTTGAGAACACAACTTTGGTGTTTGAGGCCTTTGATTGTACCCAAAATGAATTGATTGGCAGTGTGTTTTTTTTTTTTTAATATGTAAATTATCATTTATATTCTCTGTTTCAGCAGTATTAGTTGGAGAGTTTTTTTTTTTTTTTGGATTGGGTGTAGAATATATGTTTAAATATGAGTATTCTTCTTTTAGCTATCGTACATATAGAAGTAAGTAGTATTTATATATAGAACATCGTATATAGAGTTAATTACTTAGCTACAGTTAATTTTAGATATACAAATATTGTATAAGCCGGCATTGCACTTTGTTTAGTAAACTTAAGTGGTTAACTTTCTTTAATAATATTTGAATACCGAAATAATTTCCTAAATTTCTATTTATATATTTTTTTGGGTTTTCTGTAACTTTGTAACTTTTAAGATATACGCTTATATATAATATGCTTAAACTTGGGTGCCTAAAAAATGTTTTAATTAATATTGTATGTGCTTAGATTTTATAGAAATATCATGCTGCTAGCCTGTTAATTTGATTAACAAGCTCCTTAACTAAAACTACGCTCCAGAACAGTTACCATACTTTTCCAATATAATTAAATAATTAATTATATTGAATATGTATCGTAGCTGTTCCAGACTAGCAAAATTGCTCAATTTTGTAGCCTAGTGTTAGCTATATACAGATCCTATGAATCTATGAATGGCGGTGAAATATGCTTGTAATTTCGTTTTTGGACAAAAAATTCATTTATGCTGTTTTTGTTGGCAGTTTTCTTGTGCTCCAATTGAACAACTAAATATTTGACAACCACTTTGGTCCACTTCAATAACCATTTCGACAACGAGCATTGCACATTTGGCACAATAAGGTTTGAAAAATACCCGGCTGAGATTCGAAAATACTTTGCTATTATTTACCCTAAGGTTCGTTAGTAATTTACCTAGCTAACTATACATTGCCTGTATGAATGTGTGTGTATGCGAGTGTGTGTATGGGGTTGTGTATGTGGTTGTGCAAGTGTGCATGTGCGTGTAAATCGTTTTAATACTATTCAATTTGTATGGTTTGTGCGGTTGACTCGTGTGCACTACGAGACGGACAAATCGGAAGATCTCATGGAGCTGGCTGCGAAACAAACTGTTTAAATGCACAGGAGCCGAGCTACGATGAAATCGCTGCGCAAAAAATAGCACCAAGGATTTATCAGGCCCAATCGGCGTGGGCAGCAGTCGGCGGGCTGCATCATCACACAACCTCCACATAGAGTCCGGACGTGGAAGATATGTGACACCGGCCGCAAAACCCACCGCAAAACGCTCGTCGCGACGTCGCCGATGTGTCAAACTGTAGTTAAAAGTTCAAAAATATATATAAAATACCTTCATCGAGAATCGTAACATACCCCGCTAGCACGCTGCATGATCGATCGACTGCCGTAGGTATTCCAAACGGTGCCCGGCCGCATTGCAAAGCCCGTGCGCTCCAGACTGATGGAGAAGTCGCCCTGCGGGCAGTTCATGTTGCGATTGTAGCAATCACCCGCAGATCCAAGCGCCTGTCGCTGTCCTCGTGACTCAGCAAACTCGAAGTCGTTCTCTATAATCCGCATGTCACTGATATTAAGCCGCAGTTTGCTGAAGTGCGTGCGTCCAGAGTTCTGGTCGTTGGCGTACTCGTGGTCACGTGACGTTGGCGGACAACTGTCGATTAGTCGCGTCTTGTACTCGTAGTAGATGGAGTAGTTCTCCTGCGGCTCCACAGTGATATACTCTCGCGGCGTCCGGCTGTTCATTTGGTGGCAATAGATGCGCACCTGCCGCGAGTGCACCTGCAGCGTGTACTCGCCATCCTTGTAGACGCGATACATGTGCTGCAGATCGGCACAGGTCTGTGGCCCCCACACCTGGACACTGTTCGTATTGCCTTTGTTGCTGACACTCCGTCGCCTGCAACTGGGTGGCGGTGTGCACTTATGCTTCTCCACTTTCGGCCTGCCGGCAACCTGTCGCCCTTGTGAGTCATAGTAGTAGATGCGCCGCCGCTCGTAGCCCGTGCAGTCGCACTGAAAGAATCAGATAAAAGCATTGGCAATAAAAAAATACTTTGATATCGCCCGAGTTGGGTTCACTTACGGGACTCAACACCTTAAACCGCCGTTGTACACAGTTGTCACATATTTTACGCTGGATCGGCCGCTTCTTGGCATCGCAATACCGTTCGCTCACGCTGTTACCCTGCCACGCCTCGCAGCGCACGTAGCGCGTCTGATACTCTTCCGTACAGTCGCTTGAGCAGCGCGTCCACTTGGAGAAGACCCACTTGCAGTTGATCTTGCACACCTTGGTGGACTTGCGCAGCAATGGCTTCCGCACCTTCAGCCTCTTGCAGTAAGAGTCGTCAATGTATACTCGCTTCTTGGGCGCACCCCGCACCTCTGGCTTATAGACGCGGGCGCAACGCTGTACCTTGTTCTTTGTGCCAATGCCACATTCTACCGAGCACTGCAAATGAAGGAGACAACATGCTGGGACTGCCTCAGTGATTGTGATGCTTCTCGCCACTTACCTGTTCCCATTCGCTGGTGTATTTAATGTGACAGCAATTGCGAACCGCCTTAGGCATCTTCTCCTCCGGACAGTGACTGCCGTAAGCATGTGAACAGGTCACAGTGCGATTCATCTTGCACCAATCGCTGCACTGACCCCACTCACCCGTCACCCAGGAGCTCACAGAGCGTTGGTTTATCTGCGGTATCAGAATGTATTAAATATATACCTAGTTTTGACCTTGCATCTTCGCAACTCACCGTCAGTTCAGGATAATAGCGGCAGGGCTCCATGTTGCAGGTGCGCAGCAGATCGTTGAGTTCGTATTTGGTTCGTGGATTACAGAGTTCATTGCTGACGGGCGTGTGGTTCAGATAGCAGCGCACTTCGCGTACTTGGGTGCCCGTGCCACAGGTTTGGGTGCACTACAAAAAACCGGATATATGCATATATTGAGGCGTTTGACTGAACCAGGGAACACTTACCGTGGACCAGTCCGTGTAGTTCCAGCAACCCTCGCGGCATTGCTCGTGGCGTACAATCTCAAACTTCAGTTGACAATAGGACATATCGACGATATTCGGTCGCTGAATATCAGGGAATGTCTGTATACAATTGAAGGTCTTCTCCCGGGTGCCCAGCTCTCCACAAGAAGCGGAGCACTCCGAAATGCTCGTCGTGTTCAATCTGTGAGAAAAAGAGTATGAGTATTAGCGTATCTATCAGAATCGAAGCCAGTTTAAATTGCAACCCACGTTAGGATGCAGTCCGTGTTGCAGTTGCGATACTCTGCTTTTGGCATAGCCGACTCGTCACAGTACTGGGCCGCCACCTTAAGACCCTGCGTTGTGCTAATGCAGGCCGCCTGGCGATGCATTGTGCCTTGACAGAGTGAGTCGCAACTGCTCCAAGCTTGCATTTGCCAGCGATAGATCTCCACCTCCGCTTCCGCAATGATTGGCTTGTCCAGTGTGTACGTATACGATATCAGTATGGTATTCTGATTCTTGGCAGCACTCAGGTCTATCGAGATGATCTGTCAGTTAATGTAATTAGAAGATGTTATTAGGGGCTACTAATCGATTGTGTTTCGGTGTACCTCAACTATTAGATCACGCGTCAGCTTCCATGAGTAGGTGGTGTTTACGCGTTCTATGGTGCTATTGGAACCATTATAGTCCAGCGTTACGCCCCCGTAGGAGTACGTTTTGGCATAAGGTGTGACCACCTTGTCCCTATTCAGGAAAGCAACGTGCTTGTCATCGCTTACAACAATGTAGTTCTGATCAGGGTAACCAGGCTGTGTGATAACGATGTTGGAAGCACCTACATGGTTAATATTTAACAAAAATAATAAACAATTTGTTGAATTCAATTAAATTATCACTATTTTGTATATCATTTTATATCGGTTAACTGTTTTTATGTTTAATGGCAAGGGCGACATTTACAGATCTGGCAATTTCAATAAGATGGTCGAATTTCAATAAGATTTTCGTGCGTGCTTGCTATCGGCTAATGTTGAAACACGCAATTATATCAGAACTGAGATCTGGCAACCCTGTCGGCCATTTGCAAATTTGGCGTACAGGTTCATGGAAGAGTGCTGTGAAAATTAGTAAATAAATGTGTGATAAAATAAAATATACCGAAATATACAAGTGCTAATGAAATATAATCGGTGACACTTAAGTTAACGCCCCGATGAAAAGGGTGTAAATAGAAAACACATGTGAAATTCAATATGGAAAATGGTTTAGTTCGCCGCACTTACAATGTATGTATGTATGCGAGCGGAATGGAAAACTTTCTAAACGGAAGTCGCATATAAAGCTAATATTTGGTTGAATTAGTTCATTCATGTTTGCTATTGTACTCATGCATAGTGCAGTAAATGTATTTTTAACGATTGTTTCACGTGCTAAAAATAACAATTATTGGTTTTGCCGTGCAATGCAACGTGCGTGCGTGTGTGTGTGTGTCTGTGAGTATATGAAAATATTCTATATGCGCTATGTGCGTTGATAAGAGTTGCACAATTGGAGCCGATTTGCTGGCGACCTCCGGTATGACCCGGCGCCATTGCCCCGTCTGTTGATTAATCGGCGGGCAATCAGTGAGTACGTGAGGCGCCTAGGTGCATTGAGATTTGCCTTTGGACGAGCGACAGCTGATCAGCAGAGCACCTCAAGTCAGTTGGGAGCAGCAAGCAGCGCAACACACGATTCACGTGTTCCACTGAACAAGGTGAGCGAGCACAAATAACATGCAACCACTACACATGTATGAATATGTTAATGTATTTTTCGTTTGGTAAAGGGTGGGGCATTATGACTCAATTGGGCATCGAAACCGAAGTCATAAAAACTGTTTAATAGCACATTAAGTCGCGCAATGCATAAACATTTACCATTAGCATTCATTCATCAAATCATTAGCCAAAATTTAATTATAGAATTTTTTTTTTTTTTTGTACTCGTTGGCAACTGCTACATTGCGTGAGGATCTGTTGGTTGGGGAGGGGAAGGGTTGGTTCGGGTTTTTTATTATTGTATTCACCTTTTGGGATTGTCGTGACATAGTATAGGCTTAGGGGGGGCTTCTTTTGCTTAAGCAAATCGGAGACATACACGTTTCCGGTGAATTCCTCGCACGTATCGTTGCGGCCCTCGCAAACACCGCATTTATCTGCAATGAAATAAGAAATATCGAAAAAAAGATATAATTGATTTCAAAGTCATGACTAAAGATTTTGGTATTTGAACGGCTAATTACCGAGCTTGGCAATGGAGTTGAGCTCGTTGTCGCAGCCAGCCGGGCGGCAGATGCCATTGACGCACTTGTCAAAGCTGTCCACGGTGCAGGTGGTGCCATCCTTGACCATTTCCTGCAGCAGAAAGTAGGCGCTATCGTCCTCCAAGCGGCAGTACAACTTGCACTTGTCCGTTACGTGTGTGTTCACTGTGGGGTTTTGTATTTTGAGATTGGTTTCTTTGACCATTTTGACTAACATTTAGATATACTCACGTCCATATTTTGGTATCCATTTGGAGTCCGGCTTGATGCCCGGTATCTTAAAGTTCTTGCCGTTCATATCGTAGCACTGCTGCTCGCGTGGATCCACGGTGCCGGGAGGGCAGGGGTGGGTGTTGCAGGAGCGATATTTCTTTCGACTGCCCAAACAGTACTTGCCACCGTTTTCGGGCAATGGCTGGTTGCACTCGCGCCGTGACTCCTGCACACCGCCACCGCATGTGAGGCTGCAGGGCGTGAATGCGCTCCAGGGACCCCAACCGCCGTGGACCATTTGGAGGGAGCTACCCAGGCGTGGCACGCAAATACCTTTCTGACACCAAAATCTGTTGTTATTGCAGGGCGTGCCATCCGCCCAGGGTAAATTGCTGGAACGGCAGAGGTCATTGGGATGCGTGTTGGCGTTACAGAAAAGCCTCCGGCAATCTGTCTCAAAGGAACAGTGGGTACTCTGGTTGCCATGTATCAGCTGGCATTGGTGGTCCAGCGAGTAAATCTCACCGGGCAGCTTCGTGTTCAGGTTGGGTATGTATGAGGATGGCGTGTTCTCCAGGCAGGATTTGTCAGTTTTCCTAAAAACGTAGGCAAGTAGAGGCAATAGTCTTAGATATAATGGTTGCTTAGGGACTCACTCGAGGAACTCGGAGACATAATGCTGTGAGCATTTTGACCATGACCATGGATGCATATGGTCGCCCATGACGCTGGACATAATGTGTAGTGTTCGATTCTTGCCAGATTTGGCATTGTGTGGCTTGCAACGATCATCATCATCGTGTGGCATGTTCAAGCTAAAAACAAGTGGATGAGCACAATGGATATGCTGATTGATGTAAACGACTTACATGTGACCCAGCTCGTGCGCAATTGTAAATGCGGCGGGCAGCCCATTGTCCTGCACAATGGAGCAGGAGCGCGCCTTACAAACGGTACCCAATTCGGCCAACCCTAGAGTACTGCAGCGTTCCTCGCGTTCATTGCTGCAAATCTGATCGCTGTGGGAGAGTTAAGGATTAGTTTGCAGGCCCCGACCACGCTTTAAGCGTCCACCTACCGTGTGATTAGCATGGCCGTGTCATAGTGATAGCCCTCTTTGGAGAGGTAAGAGCAGAAATGCTTGAGTTTCTCGTTGGAGCCCCTTTTTTCGTTGGGTACCCTGTCGCGCAGCATCAGTAGATTCAGCAACGAAATGCGTATGGAGTTACCGATGCTGGCATCCGCAAAGATGTTTGATACAATCGATAACAGTGTGAGAATGTAGGCGGTGAGATCCTCCTTATGGAACTCCACCATGCTGGCATCGACGGCAATGAGCACCTCAAGCGTGTAAACCTGGTTGCCCAAATTCAGAAAGTGACGCTTGCGCCGCGTCAAACGTGGTCGCATGCTCTCCGCCAGATCGATCGCTTCAAGCTCCAGATCCAAATCGGAGACAGCATGTCTAGGATTTCGCTGCGAGTGCCGCCAGACACGATGCAAGATCTGGTCGCCGTCCGTCTGGTTGACCGGCTGAATGAGCATCGTGCCGAAACGGGTTTTTATATAACCAGTCTATGGAATAGGGGCAGGGCAGGAGTTGGTGGTGGATACAAGTTAATTAGTAGTCATATTCGGCGATATATTGATAAGCATAATTTGCGAAATGTTAATTTAATGCAAATGGCTTTCTGAAGGTCTCAGCCTCAGCTGATCTCAACCTGCCACCTGTCGACGTTAATGTTCATGTTTGTGTTGTTGCTGTTGTTGTTATTGAACTTACCATGCCGCTGCAGAGAGATACGGCGACCGCTGATAGGTTGTCGCCTTCGACGTAGCCTTTATAATAGCAGCCCAAAAAGTGGCCCTCGCTCTCATGAACCGACTCCTCGGTCCGGTTTTTGAGTATGCGTATGACGCGAAACGTGTTAGACGGTATGAAGGAGGTATCCTGATGCAGCACAAGATGCAGCTCTTGGCCAAACATCTGCAGCACGTACTCCGGATGTGGATCCCAAATCTGGCTAGACTTGGTGCGGAATGTGCCCGTCATGCTAAAGGCGGACGTCGCATCTGTGGGGACACATTGCATTACATTACTAGTGGGTGTTCAGCTCTCCTGCCGGCTACCCACTTACCCCTTTGGCTGCTGTTGCTGTTGCTGCTGCTGTCGCTGTGTCGCTTCGATTCGTATAGCAAATCCTCGGCATTGAGACTAAAGTTGTGTATCTTGGTTGGCGTAACAAAGGCACTAAGATTGTCATCGCCAATGTCCTGGATGCTGCCAAATTCGTTGTCGCTTTCAATATCGCTTTCATCGCTCCAGTTGACAGTAATCGTATCGTTGAAAAACTGTTTGGGCTCTTGTATCTCATATAATTTGGTGGTGCTGCTGTCGCTAGGCGCACCGCAAATGAGGAATATAACCACTCCGAACAGGCCCAGCGCGGCCACGCTGATCCATATGCCGGCGTGCTGCCGCCAGTGTGTAGACATGTTGCGGATATATTTATGCTTGTAGAACCACCACTCGCAAGTCTTCTTCAGCACGAGCTGCAACAACCGCACAGACAGACGTTAAAAAGAAAGTCATTGTCAAGGTATAGCTATGGGTAGAGCTAAGTAGATGTTATAGTATCATTCTTCGGAGCTGTGTTCACGATAGGGCAGAAAGTCAGAAAGTCAGAAAGCAGAAAGCGCCACATTACTTTGTGGCATTCTCTCACACCTTCAATGCCGATTGCACAGCTTGGGGCATAGCCGCCGGCAAAGCCAGCCAGATTAGCACTTCGTCTTGGGCACGTTCCACTGACCCAGCTGCCGCAAATAAGTAAACATTATCATTGAGACGGGTCAACCAAAGAGAGAGGGGGTCAGACTGATTTGAATGATTAACTCTTTGAAAGAATTATTGAATCGATCAACTGACGGCGGCAGCTACCTTGGCCACCTGTAAGAGACCACTCAGCCAACGGCCCAAGCGACGTGTTTGGCCTTTGGCTGGCATGCATACCGGCAGCTATTTGCAGCTCTCTAGAGCAGATCTATAGAGCTGTTGAAAACACTTCCTCACACCGCAACAATTTCGCACATTTTGGGATTTTTTGTTTTATTTTTTGTTTAAACCGAAATGCTTAAACGCAAAGGTGTAAAGTGTGCCAAAGGCAATTTTTGTTTGCTTGCCAGCAAAAAAATAAAAGAAAAGAAATTACCAAAAGAAAAAAAAAAGAAGAAGAGAAACAGAAACAAAAAGATGAAATAGTTAAGTACCCCCGCGAGCAAACAGTTTATATGCCTTTAATTTGTTAATTTATGTGTGAGGCATTTGTTTGCACCTCGCTGCTCGAAAATTTGAAATTTGTGCATCTAGCGTATCGTGATCAATGTGGTTTTTAAATTGTCGTGTCGAAAATTAAATTGAAATTCAGCCAAATATATTCACGAAATTAGTTGCCAAATGAATTTGACTAAATAATGTCGCATTTTGCATAATTTGACGGCAGCTCTGTGAACTCTCGTGACCGGCGAGACATTTGTTATGTCAACGAATTGTTGTTTGTGATTTGATTGTTTCTTAAATCTCCGACAACCAAAGCTGGATGGCTAAGACGTAGCCAATTCCTCGGATTTCCGTTGCGTTCCGCCACAATTCGCGATCTTACATCTATTTTAATAGACATGAAAGCCTTCGACTTGATGCCACTCAATTTTCGTATTGCTATGGACCTTTTATGTTCGTTATTATTGAAAATATCTCAAAATGATGGGCCATTAAATTGGCATATTTTTGAGTTTACCGATCGCACATTTATATAATGAATGTTTATAATTAAACATAAAAGCAGAGCGCCAAATATATGTATCAGTCTTTTCATTGTAAGATATCATTTTTTAACACTTCTCTCGGCGATCCGTTATCAGAGGGACAGCGAATTAACAGTAGTCTACTTTTCAGGGTCAGTTTATGACAATTATCCAACTTAAACTTGCATTTGATAGTCCATTAAAAAATATGCATACAAATATCTGAAAAATATTTCAAACATCTTTTCCGAAAATTTGTATATATTATTTAGTAGTATATTATTAAATTAAAAATATATTTTCCACTTTAAATCTGTTAATTCTTCCGATCTGTTATTAGACTGGAAGCAGGTCAACTCACGGGAGCTGCGGACGTTCTGCAACTGCATCGCATACAATTTTTGCATCGCTGTTTAAAATTGAATATTTATTGC